GTTCAAAAGATTTTATCACAGAGATTGACATAATGTTAATGATTGGGTTTTATAGGTAAATAGTGTCCGATTAGTGCTAATTTGCATAAATTAAACCGCTGATTAGGACAGCCACACTGTTAATTTATGTCATTGTAAAACAAAAACTAACTTTTCTTCTAATAAAACAAATAAACATTTTACAAGTGTAGATAGAGCTTTTTGTGATTTTTATAGAACCCTTTTGACGTCACAGAGATGCTTGTACCCAGTAAAAATACGAATAATTTGTATTTTTTCGCAGCTGAAGCTATTGTTGCTGATCAGATTAAACAAATATTTTTCCCTTGAAAAGAATTTGCCCGTAAGAGGCTTTTATCGTTTCTTGATCTCAATATTTTTTACAAAAATGATAAAAATTATATCTGAAGTGACAAAAACTTTTCTAATAAAAGTGAGACACTTTTTATTAAATCCAAGATTCTTATCAAGTAATAATATTACAAGAATGTTGCATACTAAGAACTCAAAGTGAACTACTGAACTTCAATATCGTGTTTGAAACTTAAATTATAATTTGATCCAAATGACAATGTCGCTTCATTTTAAAGCTCAAATATAAAGAAAAAACAAAATAAACACACTATGATATACGGAGTGATTTTAAAGTATGTGTGATAGAAGAGCTCAAAAGAAGTCAAAACAACTCGAGTAATTGTAGTTTTTGAGATAGAGAGGGTAATGTTTGTCAAATAAATTTAAATTTAGGGCGCAGACTTTAACTTCACCAACTCAAATTTAAACAAATATGATCTCTGAGGTTATCTCTTCATAATCTATTACATTATTATAAGAAAATTGAGTTAAAATTTGCAAAAACAGGCAGAGAATATAAAAAAAAATCATAAGATGCTAAAAATTTTGATGAAGATATTACCAAATTTTATTACGTCAAATGTTACCGACAAGAGATGTAAACTTTTGGATAAATTAGGTACTCAAAAAGTTTAAATTTCGTTTAGATTGCATTTTTTTGACAATTTTTCCAACGTCAAAGTGAAGGTTGCACTCTCTATAACTCAGAAACTATAAACATTTGTATAAGGCAAGTTTAGTTATTTTGACTTCTTTTGAGCTCTACTACCACTTGTTAAATATTTGCACATACTTTAAAATCACCCCGTAGTGTGTGTAAAATATAATATAGTGTGTCTGACTAGAGTCAGGTTAGGGTTGTGTTACTTGGGAAAATAGTCAAGTCACGTGATGACTTTTCAACCAATGAAGTCTTGTCTCCAGTCACATGACAAGGGTGGAGCTACCGCCTGTTTATTTAGAACTTAGTTTGCTCTTCGCTTCTGTTATCATTGAGAATTTAATTAAATTGTCTACATTGTGTTTCATTGTGTTGATTTACCTGTTCTCTACTTAGTAGTTATAATAGTGCATGTTCTAGACCAAATTTTTTTGTTTAATTTTTTTAAACAAATGACATTGTTTTTAAAGTCTTTGTTTTCAAAACACTCATTTTTTAACCAAAAACCATTAAAAATACAAACATATTTCTAGACCAGGTTTTCTAAAAACGCATTTTTTGAACAAAACAGCTCGATTTTTAAGTTTTTATCGTTGAAGTTTATAAAAACTTACAAAAATCAGGATTTTAACCCTGATTTTCAAGCGTTGAAGTTTTTTTCACCCCCTGCCCTCCCCATCGCCCATGAAAATCGTTCCATTTTGTCTAGACCAGATTTTTCCAAACACGTTTTAGAGGGAAAATGGGTTGTTTTGAAATTTTATCCGTTGAAGTTTTCGAAATTCCTGAGACAATTTGAAACCAAAATGAACACCTCTCTTTTCTACCCATTTGTGTTTAATTTCTTTAACTAAATAGTCTTGTTTTTTCACATCATTTTCAACTAATAAGCGTCATTTTAAAAAATCTGGTCCAGCTTTTCAAGCATAAAATCAGACTCATTTACCTAAAAAAAATGCAAAAATCTAGTGCAGTTCTTGAATCTGGTCTAGCAATTAAACCAAACTTGACGTTGAAGTTTTTGAAATCTGATCTAGTTGTTGAACAACCAAAAAATCTGGTCTAGCAATTAAACTAAACTTGACAGCGGTAACGATCTAAATGAGTGTTTTGAAAACAAAGACTTTAAAAACAATGTCATTTGTCTAAAAAAAATGAAACATAAAAATCTGGTCTAAAACATGCACTATTATAACTACTCTATTTAATTAAAATATTAGAATCAGAAAATTTTAAAACTGTGTTTGAGTTTATTTGTTTTGATTGGCGTATTGAAGTTTTAAACAAACATCCACTTTTGATTGGAAACCTCTTCAGCAATCAATAACCGTGCAAATTGGTCTTGTTGACACAAGTATCGTAAATAAAGCGCCACGTAACCGGTAGTCTTGTCGCATTAGTTAGCCTGTCAAATTACTTCCACTGTAGTGAACGAAAAAAGAGGATTTTCTCAAAGTGTTAAGATTTTCACCTTGTGAAAACGCCATCTGCTTGTATCGATTTTAAAAAAGGCACCGATTTTTTTAATTAAGTTTTACTTAATTCTTGGCTCATTTAGACCGTTTGAGCTATAACCATTACTTATTTTTACCTTGTGTTAATGTTTATGAGGTTGGGTGAGCCAAAGCTCGCTTCTTGCAACTTGCACTCTAATGTCGCAATTTAGTTAAACGTTTGCCCGACTCGTGATGAACTTTCTGCATTTTGCATGAGCTGACTTGCAGAGAGAGCGCTCGTTTTTCATACAAATCGTGCTTAATTTTTCAACTCGTGTCGATTGCAAAATGGCGACTATTAACACTGGCTTCATTATCGTTAAGTATAAATTTCCGTGTAATTGGAGAAAAATTCGATTAGGCGGTGAGAAACGAGATGAGTCTATAAAAATGCGACACGCAATGTTACTAACGCTGATTTATGGAGTTAATCGCAATGTTCAGTGATTTAACACGGTGCGGGTTCTTGTTCATCCCTTCGGCCTATACTCTGCCTGTGATGCATTTTACTACGACCTAATCTCCCGCTCAAACGTTTGGAAAATTGACGAGAATTATTCCGATGGCTTATTTATGACATTGCAATCGAAGCAAAGAAATCAATTCTAGAACTAGAAATTTGTTTTGGTTAATTTCGACGAGGTATTAAATTTTTATGAAAGGGTTTGCGCTGGAGACATCAAAATTGTTATTGTTTACAATGCAAATTAAATACGTTTGCAGTCGTCTCTTTGTCTCGTCAAAGATAATCAACTTTTCCTGCATTTGACGAATTTAAATACAACTGAGTTAAAATAACGTCGTGCCATTACATTCCATTAAAAACTGAATGTTGCTTCTGTTTGATGCCAGAGAAAAGTTGAGTTTATTTAAATAAAAACCTTCCCGAAATAACATTCCCTAGAATAGCGTTTTTAGCAAGGCTATAAATATGCCAATGGAAGAGGGTTTAAAAACCCAGAGTAGACCTGAAAGTCAGGTCCCAAGACGATCGTGGACTCTTGTTTGAATAAAATTGCCTAGTAACAATGGATTTGGCGCACAAAAACATAAAATGAGTTGTAAATATTGACAGGAATTCAAGGATTAAATTTCCAGCAATTGATGTCATTCGCGAAGTTTTCGATTATCGAATCACTTGATGTCGGTTTCAGCTGAAAATCATCCGTCAAAAACACACACCTGAAATAATACGGGATAAAAGTAAACTTGCACTCTTATTAAACATGTTTTCCTAGGGATTTGTACGAGCAGGGAAGCATCGTTTTTCATGTTTTCAGACGCGTCTCTATTTTTACAGCTTTACAACAAACTAGTAAATTATAGCCACGTTTCAGGATCAATGACACGTTACTAATAAAAAATGAAATATGAGACTTAAATCTCGACTTGTAATTTCGGCAATCTTTCAAGTATTTGCTGAAATTCACATGAAAAATATCAAGGAACAAAAAGGCGTAGTTTCGGAGATATGGAGGGCTGAAACTCAATCACGGCTAACTTGTTTCTCTTCCTTTACAAGTCTGAAACGCTGAAAGTGTAATATTCCTGAATCTGGATGATTACGTGTTGTCGCTGAAAGATATATCATGAAAGGTTTTCCTCAAACTTATGAACACACTGTTGACCGTCTTTCTAAGACCTTTTCACTTTTCGTATTTATACAAGACGAATCGTAATCAAATAAAACGAGAGGGTTGTTAATATTAAAGACGAGACAATAAAAGGTTGCCTGAAGATGGTTTTACCATATTTCCAAATGCTTGCCTAAAGGAGCCAAATACTAATTTCTAAACGATTTTTTGCCATTGGGGTTTTGCCCGAAACGAAACAATTTCATTATCAAAGTTGAATTTTACTCTCGTTCATTTAATGACTGAAATTTATTTTATTGCAACAATTCACATTTCGTGTAATAAAGCCTTTTAGTAGATTTTCAGTGTTTTAATTTATTTTGTATCGCAACTTTACTCCACTTCATCTTGCTGTTGCACGACCTAATATATCGGCGAAGTTTTTGGCAATATTTGCCATCGATTTGTCATTTTGTGTCACATCAAAAAGGGCAAAAGCCTAGTTCAATTATCGGTTATTGAAAATTTTGCGAAAAATTCTGACTTGCTTTAAAATTGACTGTAACTTAAACAAATAGGGTAAATATTAGATTAAAGTGGTTCTGCATTATTAACGACTTTTGTGCAATATTAACCATCCAACTTTCAGTAATCTTCTAATTATAAACTTGCAGAGAAAAAGAAGAAATTTCTGTTGTGTGCTAAACGAAAAATTAAAAATTTAATTATCAAAGCTTCAACTTAAATTATAACGGATAGTTGGGATTTTTTACAAAACGGATAATTACCGCGGTTCAAAGAACCTAAATGGTTCTAATTTTAATAATATACAAAGCCGCTCCAACATTAATTTTGAAAAATTGTTTACTTTGCGATAGTCGATAAAACGACTTGTAATTTTTTGTGTTTTTTCAGTACTTTGCGGAGTCGGAGTCGACTTGGCCTTCCACAAACACAATTCCGGATACTATCTCATGTAAGTAAAAAATATTTTTCACTAGCTTTACAACCCTCCTTTCCCGTATGTTTTCCGCCATTAGATTTTACGAGCTTGACGTTCTCGAGGCGTGTTTGTGCAAATTTAATCCTTTTAGAAATAAAAAGGCGTGAAAGCTCGAAATTAGAAATTGAATCTCGATTATTTTCAGATGTGGATTTAATATAAAAGCTCGTAACTGTTTATTTTTCCTTTCGAGCAAAATAACAATAGTCACAAGAAAGGTTTTTGCGTTTGATGTGCTTTTGAGAGTGCAATTACATAACACAAAATGTTCACCAGCAACACGATGAAAATTCAAGCTTTTGCAAGGACTTTTCAGAGAAAGAGTTATGAAAACTTGCCAGGAAAGCTTTTCAGACAGTTCAAACATAATCACAATCATGCATATTCGACTCCTGGAGCTCCTAACTAAGATTTCATTAGGAGATTAGTTCGGTGTATTGAGTCAGAAGGATCGAATTGGAACCGATCTAAGCATCTTAACTTTTTCACAAGCTCCCACAAAGGCTAATTATTTCAAACATACACGTCAAGGTCAATTAAAACTTTGTTTATCCTTTGTACGATGTTAATTATGGTTTTACGTGCTCTCACCTATCTCTGGCCTTTGTCTACGTGCGAGAGCATCGTTCAAGCTTTTGTTTCGATATTTGGTGGTTTCAAGTTTTGTTGATGGTGACATTTGGATGCGTATGTGGTCGGTACGCACATAATGAAACCGCTGGTTTGAGGCCAATACGCTTTATGTTTCTATCCGACGATCCTTGGCTTTGTTCGCCTTTGAAAAATGGCTTTTCATATACAGAAAAGCAGAAGACTCTAATAAGATTACAGAGACTAAATCGAAAATCGACCAGAAAAATATCCACGTCTTAGGATTAGACTTTTTGCTAAACTTTTGTTGCTCAAGGGAAAAAAGCAAATTAATACGAGCAAGGCGCGACACGAATAAATACAGACTGCCTCGGCGGAGATTTTCTTATGCAATATCGCCGTCATTAACAGGTAGAAACACCCGTAGAAAGTGGTGAAGACAACATGTTAAAAAATTTGTTTCTTCACGTTTAAGAATTACTCGTAGTTAACCTGTCGAAATTCGAAAAAAAAACAATTAAAAATAACTCTATGAAATAAATAATCACCACTTTTCTTGCTCTAAACTAATCGGTTTAAAAATATTTTTTTAAATAATATTAATTAATACGGTGCCCGGGCTTTGTTGGTATAATTTTAATTCAGTATTGGCGCTCTGAGCAAAGACAAGTTTCAAACTGTCAACTTCATAACATTAAAATATCTAAAGGGAAGCTGGAGACAGGTTTTCTTTATATGAAGAATTTAATAGTCCTTTAGTAAATTATTTTTAAAAGTTTTGTCTCTTGTTGCTTTGTTGTCTGTTTTTATGAATCAAAGAAACAGTTTCTCTTTTCCAACAAGCTGCAACTTTGCATACACTCATCATTTCCGTTACATTACAATAATATTTACCTAAACAAATAATGTATAAACAATTAACAATTGTTACTATGCGTCTAGATGTTTGAACAAATTATTATCTAAATATTTTGACCCTATACTGTCAAGCAATCAGAAGAAACAAATTATTTTAATTTACATTCTGTAAATGTTTACACTAGTTAAACAGCAAAAACTATACCTAAATTCTGAAATATAGAGGGTTTTGGTCGCTGACAATCCCTCGGGTTAGTTCTTCAAAAACTATTATTGGTACTTAAAAAAACTATTTTAAACTGCGAAAATACAACTAGTGAAATTAACAAGCGGCATAACCTAAAAATTCCTTGCCGGTTGCTGGCACGGGCACCGTTGCCGGCAGTGGAGATGCTACCTTAATTATTACGCTTATTTATTTGTAAAAATGGTAGTTGCGCAGTGTCAGTTTTTATATGTTTTTTACTTTTTCTTTACTAGAAATTGTGTTTTTTTGTTGTGTTTCGAAGGCGAAGAGAGTGAGAACCAGTCGTTGGGGCAAAAAGTCGGTCTTTGGCCGATTTAGATTAGCAAGTTGTGTACATAAATTAGCAAAGTTTCGGTGCCACTATTTGAGCATCAAACTACATTGTCAACAAATTAAAAACAGTAACGGCCTCAAAGTTGTTTATCTGTAAACAAAACTTGAATTATTAATTGATTTGCTTAAAACAGAGCGTGGCTCAATTTGCTTATGAAATATGTATAGCGTGAATTTGTTGTGTTTTGAATTTTTCATACTTCAAAGAGGTTTTCAAATAGCAGATTTGTGCGGCGATATGATACTGGAAAATGTTATCTCGTATCCGATAGAATTCAAATCTGGTGAACGTTTTTGGTATACAAAGTAACGTCTACAAAACGACTTGGCTTTCTACAATAGCTTTTGTTTGGCCGAGATATAACACTAATATTGGGAAGTAAAGACGATCAATTTGATCCTTACAACATTTTTAAGCACGATTTAACCCGAGAAAAGCCCGTACGTGGCTGTTGCAAGGTAGTAAATTAGAGTTCTCGAAAAGTAATTATGCTAAAACCCTCAGCCTATTGTGAAAGCTCAATTAAATTCAAATTAAAATGGCAAACTTTAATTGCAAAAGTTGGAAATTTTTATTTGTATATTACCATTTTATGCCAAGAATCTGAATAATGGGAATTATAGTTAGATTAAATTTATCAGCGTTAAAAGCCGGATTATTCCAACTGTCTGAATAACTGACGAGATACCGTAATTGATTAATTATTTAAGTGAAACTTGGAAAAACAATTCCGGCTTGTAACGACATTTTCACACGTTTCAGTTTTTGCTGTTCACGTTATTCAATTTATTCAATTCAATTTCGGGCTTTTTTGGAATGATCAAACCAATAATTGGTTTATTACGATAGCAAGTTTTTTATTTGAGGCAATTTTCTACCAATTTCGCAACCGTCACTTCTAATAAAGTTACATTGATATTTCGCTGTTTTTCCCAAATTTTGACACGCTTTATTCAATTTTTATAAGTAATTCGTGTTACAAACCAAAATAATAAATTGCAAAAATGGTGGATGCGCCGGGTGAGAATAAATTGTGTGTTAGTAAAAATTTTATTCGCTATTCGTTCCGTCATTATAAAATCTCAAAGATAAAACTTAATTTGAGTTTAAAGATTAATGTTTGAAAAATAAGTGCCTATCGTCTTATTGAAGTTCGCTTCTAAAATGGCCATTAGCGTTCTAATTTAACGTTAGGGTCAAATGTCTGCACCTTGGTAAATGACTTAACGAGGCATGTTCCTTGTGACTTACCGCACTTGTTTCATAATTACTTTGGAAAGACAAACTCGGACCAACAGTTCGACCCTTGGTAATTAAAAGCTCATTTCTAGAACACGCTGCTTGGATAATTTCATCCAATTTGGCACAATAAAAATTTCATGCTTGCTCTAAATCAAGCAATTTATTTTAATACACTAACTTGCTTTAATGTGTCATAAATGTTTGAACTAATCGCGTTTAAAATAAAACTGTTTAGACCGCTGAAGCCACCAGTGTTTGTATGTAAACTTGTAATTTGGTTAAGTGTAAATTAGCCCCACTAGACACCCGCCGGTCAAAAATAATTTTATTTAATTTAGGGGCTCGTCTCGCAACTACACTTCTCAGACGGAAATATATAAATAATCCAAAGTTTGCGATGTTGCTAGTAAATTCTCATAGTTTTGTGTAAACTCAAAGTGCAATCTCCCGTGTGATCCTGAAGAACACTAACTAATTTCAACTCTGTTCTGCTTCCAGCTTACGAAACATATTAGATATTCAGATCTCTCAGGTGCAAAATCCAATATGTTCTAACCGCAGCTTCCGTAATAAACAAAAGAGTTCTTGCAACAACAGTTGCAAGCAACCTCGTATTTTTTCTAACACACCTGAGAAATTACAGTTATCATAAATTACATGGTGAAGAGGAGAGAACAAAAACTTAACAAGAATTTATTGCTGATAAGGCTAATATATTTAGTGAAAAATTGTTGCCTGCATAAATTCCACCACAAACGAGATTATAATGGAACAAACGCAAAAACATTAGTTCCACCTTTACTTCAGCATCAACATACGTCAAAAATTACATTTTTTATTTAAAATAAATTATCGGTTAACGTTAAATAAATCATTTAAAAATGGTGGATGCGCCGGGTAACTCAAATACCAAATGCAAAATTTGTTAAATTGTAAAATAACGACAAACTTAATTTTTTACTTAGGGAGTAAGTAAATCAAACCAACAAAATGGTAAAAAATTCAATCTTTAATAATTTCGTAATTATGGAGTTTTAAAGTTTGCACGTCTGATCCCATTTATTTAGCTGATATAGATAACAATTTCATTTAGTTTTTTCAAGTTATTAGAAATATAAACAAACGTTATACTTTTGAATTTCATTATTAATGTTTTACTTTTTTACCTTTAAAGCAGAAATAACTAAGGTCAAATATCAGAAAAATTGAAATTGTTTTTTATCTTTGAGACTTTTAAACAACACTTTTATGACTAAATGTCACAAAATGTCAGCTATAAAGTAAAAATTTTTTTTTGCCCCTAAATGTTTTTACTTGTCCCATGACATTATTGACATTCACCAATGTGTCTTTCGCTGTTTCAGTTTTTGGAGAGGTACATTGTAGATCAGCATTTGACATGTTGCACTACTAACTGCACTAGTTAAATAAAAAAAAAACACTTTTGAAAATCTCAACACAAAGTTGTGTACTGACAATATAATATGACATAACATAATATACGTGTATAAAATGTGCAAAAATTTCCAGAAATTTATAACAGAGTTGCAACTTATATTTTTTTTGTCACTCGCTTTGTTTTAGTTATGTTAGGTTCATTTTGTTAGAAATGAAAAATTTACTGAAGTAAAAAAAGAATGTTTAAAAAATATAATGACCCAAAAGAATTCACAAAATTTGTAAAATGGAATTTCTGTAAATAATCAAAAGAAAATTGATGAAATATTGTCATAAAAAAGGAAATTGCCCTAATTTTGACTTTCACAGATGTGTGGTGAAAACCTACCAATATAAAATAACAAAAATTCTTGTTTCAGGAAACCACTGAAATTATTTAAAAAGTAGCAGTTAATGCAAAATTAAATTTCTTTATTATTTATTTCAAAATAAAAAAAGGTGGAGGCGCCGAGTTTATTTGATATAATTTTTTTATTCACACTTGGATTCAAGAACCAATAGCCAAAAACAAATTTTTAATTCACAAAAAGCCAATAAAATTCGTTGTGGCGGCTGCATCACGTGGCTTGTAACCCTGATAACCTCAAGAATATTATAGAATACGTAAAGATCTTTCCACTAGAAATCTGACATTGTCGTGCCTGGGGTTTTACAGTCGCGAACGTGACTACCTCCAAATTATACAACTCGGAAACCAGACCTAAATCAATTACTTTTCTTGTAAATGACAATCCAAACGCTTCGTCCTAATTTGAATGATTTAACGAAGCTTTTTTAAAAAAATATTTTTTCACCAAGGATTAATCAAATCCAGGTGTTATCATCTTCATCGCTTATTTAGCAAAGCGTTCTGTGGGGATTTAAATCTGACACGTGTCCTGCTGCAGGCCTACTCCTAACCTAAGTATCCTTTGTCTCTCATTTTACTTTATCTCTTTCCGGCCGAATATAACATATTTGGGGTGCCCGAGGCATTGTTTATTCTACACTGACCTCATTAGAACTGCAATCATACCGAAATCACAGCTTGGGGAAAGCTTCAAGTTTAATTTCGCACATCAACTAAATATTCATTCATTTGCAAGTTTTTTAACACCCCAGGTCGCGTCTGAAGACACCAACAAAACCACAACAACCTTGTGAAACATTACACTGGATATTTTAATTAGACTCTGGTTTAAACCGTTATTTATCAAAGGCGCTAGATTAAACCAGCATTGAAATTAATTTTCTCCTCTAGCAGACTTGTGACTCCACTTTCACACCTAAATTTTTTTAGTTTTTTGGCCGCAAACCCTCGACCCAATTTCATAAAATTGTCATTTCTTCTCTGCTTATTTATGCCTCTGATTTTGCATTTATAAGGTAACCGGGGGTGTTATTTAAAAATATGATAATCCCACTCTTGGCGACTATGAACTTGGAAGGAAAAAAGAAACTCGGAGAATTATAGGATACAAGTCTTAATGGGCTATAACGTTGCCGGAAACAACCGTTTGCCATTCTTGCATGTCCGATGTATACTAGAATAGTAATTCGAGCTTTTACCTCCTTGTCAAGTCCGGGAAAAGCTTTTACAAAGAGGGAGGTTGCTTACTGAAGAAAGTATATCTAACACCACGGTTTCTTATTGCTCTGCCTAAATGGAGGGCTTAAAAACGAGAATTACAGGAGAAAGTGGAATTGTAAACGATTATTACCGAGGATAGGGTTAATAAGAGCCGGCAGGGCGGCCATGTGCTAGATGGAAAATGTCGCACTCAATTATGGATAAATTTAATATTTAGTCGCTTCAGCTAAGATTTTGTGCATCGGGTTTAGCTACTTAATATCGCATTTTCTGTGCAATACGGCATCCAATTTGATTATGTTAAATTCCGTGTCTGCGAACTTTCTCGGTAAAATATTAATAAAAAGCTCATTGTGAACAACTAAAATGCGAAAGCACGTACCATATACAAAATTTCCATACGAATGCCTTGGAATTTTCTTAAAGAAGGGTGAATGAAGTAGAAAGTGGAAGAAATCTAACTTCGTAATGTAAGTGCGTTGAAATGCCAAGACGAAAACAAGGTGTGTCATAGGAAACTGTAATTTTTTCCAAGCCGAAGTTGTGGTGGCACGACTGTGTCTCCACTCTCATAAATCACTAATTCGGTGCTTGTTTCGTTTTATGACGACGTAAACTAAGCCCATTCCACATAAAAGACTGCTCTTTAATTTAATTCCAATTTTTTTTTAATTCAATTCAAAAAAACTCGTTTTGTTAAATTGTAGAAGATTATTTACAGTGTAGTAGGGACAATCAAAAACAGTTTTAAGAAAAGTCCAAACTCCTGAAAACTTAATCAAGATAAGCCCGATCCGAATTTTTAGTCCTGTCTCTTATCCTGTTACAGCTTGAAGCGCTACAAAAACAACCAAATCTCATATTTAATTTAATATAATTAAAATCTGAACTAATGTTTCAGAGGCAGTTCGGCTGCTGTGCTTTTCCTGGAAGTAACATGGGTGGTAACACTGTTCCTGCAGCTCTGCGTCAGGTAAGGAATATTTTAATTAAGTGTTTCTGTTTCCATTGAAATGTTAAAGCGAGGTTGTCGACTTTATGAAGATAAACGCTGAGAAATTAAATTTCTTTGGACAAAGCGAGCTTGCATTTTTAGTGCATAAAAATAATTAGTTTCGTCATATTTTTGTTATTCAACTCTTGACGTTTTAAGCAAAATTTCTACTTTGACTCTCAAACGATGTCAAATATTCTGTTTGAGAAGAGCAAATTACAAAGAAAACGTTTTAATCAATTTGGCTACAAAGAAGCGGAATTTTAACCTTATCTAGGTATGTGGAAAAGCATGAGGTCGTTAGTAACAGTAAAAAGAAACAAATGTCTTTCTGTGCTTTATAGAAATCAAATACCTATTTTGCGAGACTTCAAAGAACGTTTTAATTAAAGTATACAGACGGAGAGTGCTACTTTTATCACAAAAAAGTATTAGTAAAAAATAGTATATTATAATAACACGCACGTCGTTGTTTTAAAGGCACTTATAAACGAGTGTTATACGCTATTTTTTATTATACCTGCCCATTTACGATCTCTTACGAGCATTGAAAAAATCTGAATTTACACAATAAAATTATCAAAGGTTGTTTGTGAATCGTTTTCGTAGAGACGTTGTAATTGGTCCAGACATTTCACTATTTCTTGTTACCTAGACAACTTTAAAATTTCAGCGTGCTATAAAGGCCAAATTACGCACGCTACAGCGTGTTTTAATTTAGGATTTTGATGCAGGTATAATAAAAAATATATTAATGAAATTTTGAGGTCAAAAAAACTAACAACAATGCTTACGTTCAGACAGGAAGAGTATTGTTAGCAAGCAAACTCTACTCTCTATAAATTTAAAGAGATGGTTAAGAGAACGAAAAGCTACTTTTAGAACCTTCTAGTCCTAATAATTTTAGCAAAATTCATTAGAGTTTATAAAAAAAGTATAAAAAATCAGTTTTTAACACGAAGTGAGATAAAAGCTGCACGGTTTTATTTGAAATTTATTTGGTGTTTTTAGTTCGGGTCACAAAATTTTGCAATTGGGACTTTACTGTCGGCTAGTCTCATTTCGTTAATTAACACGAAAACAAAAATTTACGCATGCGAAAAATCCTCGCATAAAAAACGAGCATAGTTTTAATTACTTCATTCGCATGTCGGTTGCGTTATTTTTATTTGGTTGATATCATTCCGTGCAGTTACAGAATATGTGATTTGAAATTCATTTCGACCTCTACCTGGGACATCGCGGTTTGAATAAATAATATTTTCCACACATCACAGCTGTTTGATGTTTGTTAGCAAGCAAACAATTCATTAAAATTGAAAAAACACTGAAACGAGATGTTTAATTTGCAAAATTAATTAAAAGTATTACAAAAGTGGAATGCAGTTTATTAAATTTTACGGTTTGACCAAAAATAATATCATGCACTGTTCAATTGGCTTACTTCTCTTGAAAAATTGAAATAAAACAGTATAGGTTAGAGGTTACATGAAATAAATAATATTCGGAGTCACAAAACATTGATACGTTTCCACATACGAGGTAATAAAAAAGCCATTTATCCGAAATTGATAGTCGTTCTATGTTTTATGATCCGTCTGTAATATTTGAGGGTCTTTCGTCGTAACAAGCTATCCCTTTTGTGTGTTTCCAAGTTATCGAAATTTTTAATAAAACATTTCGCTTGTCTTTAATGTAATTAAATTTGTTTCAGAGCGGAATCGCGGGTTTTTCGCTGTTGGTCTGTGTTTTCGTGGCTCGAAGGATGGAAGAAAAGTCTGCTCTACGGCCCCCTGGGAGCTGTGCCTCTCATTTGCCCTCACAAACTCTGGCTCTCATATGTAGCGGCAGGGCAGCTCGTTGCGCTAGCCTTCTTTCATTTTGTATTATCCTTCAAGGGACGCAGACGAAGGAAACGGAAAGATCGTCTCCTCCATGCTGACATTGACAGTTTTGAGAGGTCTGTTTTACGATTCATAACGTGTAAAACCATACGTCGACTCGCTTTTTGACAAACGAGAAAACTAATTCTTAAAAAAATCCCGATTATTGCAACTGGAAGTTGCAGTTCCTTCGGGAAATAACCGGGTCCCCTCAGGACTTTTCCGAACTTAATCAAAATCAGTTCGTAATACAATAAATATCAAGAATTGGTTTAAAGCCTGATACATATCTATCGAAATTGGATCTCTGTTTGACTTGAAGCGAATCTCAAGAGATGAGTCCATTCTTTCAATTTTTTCAGACTTTTCTTTTATCTTTTCAGTAGTAAATTTGAGGAAGTGACCGAAGTCCTGGACGACGGTCTTCCAGAACCGATTCCGGGAAGCAGTCATTCCCTATCGGATAGTTTAGCTGAACAGGACACGATCCTTGAAATATGACCGGAGCTGCACCAGCCTCCTGACTTGTTTAAACATATAGTGGATTCCGGGCACTGGAGTGAGCGGGAGACCGAAGATATCATTTCGTAAAGCTGCCAAAAATACCAATTCTCAAACAAATTAAACTTCTTTTTGTACTTGTGCCAACTCGCTTTCCAATTTTAACACAATTTTTGTAAATACAACTCTCACACTAGGAAAATTGTACATAATTCACTAATATCGCAATTATAAAATGTATGTACATAGTAACCAATAAACTATTTCCCCACAACTGGTGTTTTATTTAAATTTTCTGAAACGTCTTCTCAGAGTTATTTTTACGGACAAGATGTCTGCAGGTTTGAGTCTATAACTCGCCGAATAAAACCGCCCTGAACTCAAACTTCCACATTTGCAATATCGTTATTTGAAAGAGGTTCGTAAAAATGCACCATTTTCAATTCTCTGAATCGAAATTTTCATGATCCGGAGTCGTAAGTGTTTTTCCGGGTTGTATAAATCCATCCTTAGTTTATCAGAAACATTCTATAAAACAGTTCCAACAATGCTCTCATAAAACTATACGAGTAAAAATTATTTAACTGAGTTATATCTCGCGTTCTCCTTGAATGCGTCGGCAAATCTATTGTAACGAGAGGAGCTTTCCTCTTGTCAATAAATGGCATGTCTGGAGCACCCATAAAACTATTCGTGCAGTTTATAACTTATCTACACACAATTCATCGAAAACTTTATTCTCCCGCATATTCCCTCCAGTTCCGCGACAAATTTTAGGGTGCAAAACTTTGAAACGAAGGCTTTTTATCAGATCTAGAAAAATTATTGCAACATGTCATTCTCGACACGTTTTATTAATTGCAGTGATGAATTAAAAGCAATTTCTCGGGAAAAAAGACACTGAAATCGACTTGTTTATTCGACAAACATCGAATGAATAAATAAGCAGAGACGAGTCTCGAGCCGTCCATTATTTTGGTTCGGTTGAAATCGCTTCTATCATTTATTTATTTTAATTGAGCCCAAAGGTCTGGGCTGATCGCATCCACTCTGATTACGCCATACATGGTATTCAGGAATTACTCTCCTTCACTATTCAACGAATAATTAGCTTGAATCAGCTTCAAAACATACGCATCTTTGAAACACTAATTACTATCAAACTGATCAAATACAACACTGATTAAAATCTTATCATGTTATCGCTTTGTTGTGAACAAGATAAAGCTATCATATCGCAAATATCTCAATTCCAGGTAAGTGTGTTATATATTTTCAGTACGCAGTGAGATATGAGTGCCTTTTATGTGTTGAAAAAATAACAAGAAATTAAAAAATAGTGTGCAATTATAAAGAATGATTGAGTAAAGTCGATTACAAACATTTTTTTATGTGGTACAGTACATAATATTTTTAAATGTATCATACGGAGTGTGCCAGCGAGTCGGTAAAGTCCATAATTGATTACTAAATGTTAAAATTTAAAAAAATACACAGTGAGTGGGAAAATTATGGAAAAATCTTATTAAAACTGAAAATATTTTGTTTTCGCAAAAATGCTGGAACAAGTCATTTTTTTTTTAAATACACAATTCTTAACTTGATTTAACATTTTACACTTTAGTTTTTGAGTAATAAAGTCATCGATATTTTTTTTTAATAGAACCTCCTATTTTTCTTAAGCTACTTCGATAGATCTTTTAATTGTGAAAATTGACAACACCAAAATATCGAATATTACATAAAATTTTCATAAAAAAATCATTCAAAAAGTGAAATAATATCAACATTAAATAAAAAAAAAACAACTTATTTTAAAAACTAACCAAATCGACCAATAAAAGTTTCAAACATTGTAATAAAAAGCTACATCCAGTAATGCCGAAAACATATATTCATTTAAAATAACATAAGTTTGTATTGTAACTTATTTTTTCTATTTTGCGTCTGAACGAAAGCTTATTTCGATACCAAAACCGATCCTTTAATAAATCATTTCAACACCAATTCGGGTGCTGAAATAAACTATAGGAGAAAATCAGCCGCCAATAGATGGTACTAAAACATTAATGTTTTCCCCATTTGAATAGTTTACAGTTGATGTTCCAGATGTCTCCTTTCCTAATTTTGGCGCGTAGCTTAGACGACGGCGCAGCGACGTTTTGGCGGGATTTTGCCGGAATTTTGTGACAACTTTAAAGTTTTATTTAATCTGTCATCTAACGTTTTGTATGAGTATTTTTTATTTAAAATAATAATGCCAAAAGTTGAAATCTACATTTTAGAAAGTAATGCATCGAAATAGACTCTCCCAAACAGTTTCTGCAATGAAGTAGAAAGCAAAAACGGTAGCAAGTACTCACATTTACATTGACTTGTCAAACTGACAAAAAGGAAAACTGATATTGTCAAAATATGTTTTCCCCATTTGGATAGTTCTAAGCCGGACACCAGAGGTCAGCTACTTTGCTGATTTTCTCCTATAGGATTACAATTTACTTTCTAGAGGTTAGTAATGGTGATTTTGAGCGGCGTTTTGAGCGATTTCTCTTACTTCAGGTGGTGTGCATGAAATATTGCAGTATTCATTTGCATTATTCATTGTTTCAAAATTTTGAAAAATATTCGAGACTTGACACTTCGAAAATCGAATTTTTAACACTTTGCGACATTTATTACCAACCACCACCATATTTGGGCAAAAGTTCCTACATTTTGAGAAATTATGTTAAAATAGTACGTAAAATATGCAAAATAGAAAAAGTAGCATAAAAAAATTTGTTTCATAAGTCATTTGTGGGCACTCGTTCTTTATAAAACACGCGCTTCGCTGCTTGTTTCATAAACCTGAACTCGTTCCTCAAAACTTGCCTTACGAAACGCGTTCTTTAATATACTTATTTGGGACTAAATTAGTGTCTATAATAGTATATTACATAATGAGCACGAAAAGTGATAAATAACGCACAAGCGGGAAAGTTGCGCACGAGGCCTTAGCCGAGTGCAGACAATACCGCGAGTGCGTTAGACACTTTCCTGCAAGTTTTGTACACTATTTTCCTACGACCATAAATAACTTTTTTCTTACGAACATTTTTTTTTCATAACGATTTATTTTTTATATTGGATACAAAAAAATATGTTAAATGAAAAAATACAAAACATTCGAGTGTGAATTGTGCGTTAGATTTCTAACACACAGTGCGAAAACAAATCGCACAGGTTTTTGACCTCGTACGATATTGCCAATTTTCGCGCATTGTAATTATGCGTTATGATCTACTTTAGTATATGGTCGTAGGAAAATTTCTTTTTTTTTAATTTTAACATCTAAAGGTCATCGTTGGTCGCGGACACCCTCAATAGACTTTTTCTAATTTGCTTTTATAATACGTTTATTAATGTCTCCAGTAGGAGTCGTTTATGACTATCTATAAAAGCACACTGTGCTTTAATGAATTTAGGGTTATTTAGTTTTTGGATGCCGCTTTTGACTTGTCAGATAACAAATTTTGCGTTGTTGCTTCGGGAATTTCGCGAATTTCGGGCGGAGTGCAAACTAAATTCTGTTTCTCATATTTTATTTATTATTATTATGTTGTAACACTAATAACTAATAATTTGTAAATTTTATTTTTAATGACAGACGGCAGAAATGACTCAAAAAAAACAGGTGGGCGCCGAGTGTTACCAACCGATACCAACTAACACAAAATTCTCTACTTAGTCGACAAAAATATATATTTTTTTAATTAAAATAAGAAAAAAGGGGGCGCAAATTAGAAAAAAATAGCATAAAATACTCGTTTTATAATGGCATTGGCGCACTCATCCCATAGAAAACTCGTCTACGGCTCGTTTTCTAACTTGGGATTCGTGCGCCAAATCAACCCTTATAAAACTTGTTCTTCAATATACTATTACCAACTCCGTACATTCTGTATAGTTTCGGAATAATACTCTTGTAACTTTCAAGGTGCTTATGCAACCAATTATGCAATACAAATGCCATTATTTAAAAATAATCAAATTATTATCAGCAGACTTAAAACATGGGTTTAGCTTGGTGCAGGTAAATATTACAAAATTTTATATTTTTAGTCCAAATTTGCAATAAGCCGTTGTTTTCTGTTTGAAAAACTTGTTTTTAAATTGGGCGCGCTTTTTGACATTTGGTTTCAACATAACCTTCGTAAAAATTGTCAATTTCCAATCCATCAAAAAAAAACACACAAGAAATTTCCATCGGATTCAAAATTCGTAATAATGTTTTTTCGAGCATTTTAGGTAAAAACCGAAGCTTTTGAAATCGATGTTATCGCGGAAATTTCTAGAAGCTACGTTTCAGGTTAAAAGCGAACTCAAACGACTCAGTCTCGAAAGTTCTGGAAGAAATGTTTGGCTGGGGAAGTACCATTCACGGTGAACTGGGGCTGGGGGGCATCGAAGAGGAGCACATCTTCACCCCCAAAGCCCTCGACTGGTTTGAGGCAAAATCTGTGATGAAAGCTGCCTTGGGTGCAAACCATACACTGTTTTTGACCAAAGATGGAAAAGTTTATTCTTGCGGGAACAATGATTATGGACAGTTGGGGCACGACCAGCCGAGAAAAAGGCCACGTATGTCGCTGTTTAGTATGTGATTTGTTGCTGTTATGTTCTATTTGACCACTTGTAGAAACTAATTGTTCCAAGTTTTGCGAGAAAAACTAAATTTTTGGGACATGACAGTTTATTTGCAAACTCATCCTTTCATATCTTGGTCATTTCACCCATTTTTCACCTTTTGTAGGAACAGAATCAAACAAGCTCATTTTTGCAGAATTGGTGTCTGGTCTTGACGCATACTCGATCATAAATGTGGCCTGCGGGGAAATGCACTCTTTGGCCTTGAGTCGATGGGGCGAGGTCTTTTCCTGGGGATCAGATAATTACGGCCAATTGGGGCACCAACTTGGGGGTACCTTACAAATCGTTCCTAAGTTAATCAAATCATTAGCAAAGTATCAGGTAGTACAAATAGCAGCAGGGCAACGACATTCAGTAGCTTTAACTAATGGTAAAGTAGAAAATTACTAAAATCAATTATTCAATTATTTAAATTTAAGCTGGAGAAGTGCTAGTTTGGGGGGCAAACGATTTTGGACAATTGGGTCTAGGAACAATAACCCCATTTGAATCAACACCAACTACAGTTTGTTCCCTACGTGGTATTCCATTTGCCTTGATTGCCTGCGGAGGAAACCACACTTTTGCTGTTTCAAAATCGGGGGCTGTCTTTGGATGGGGTAAAAATCAGTTTTTTATTACCATACAATTAATAAAATTATTAGGGAAAAACATCAACGGCCAACTTGGCTTAAACGACACCACTTCGAAAAAATTCCCTACTCAACTGCGAACATTGCGAAATAGCCGTGTCAGATACATTTCATGTGGTGATGAGTTTTCCACTTTTCTCACACTAGACGGCGGTGTTTTCTCGTGTGGGGCCGGAATGTACGGTCAGCTGGGTCACGGTGGTACCTCTAACGAGATTTTACCGCGACAAGTACACACAATTTTTTCTACTCCCTTAAATTACTGAACAATTCCAGGTGTTGGAGCTGATGGGTTCGACGATAACACAGATTTCCTGCGGTCGGCAACACTCATTGGCCTTCGTACCGTCGCGTGGGCGTGTCTACAGTTACGGTTTGGGCGGGGCCGGCCAATTGGGGTTGAGGAAGCCTAGTAACGCGTCCACGCCCCAGGTGGTTCTCGGACCGTGGGTTTCCCCGAGTGGAGTACCAGTGGTGCCCAATAATGCGTCGGTAAATGCCGTAATTAAGCGGATTTACGCCGGTGGGGATCACTGTTTCGTTTCTGTGACTGAGAAAAAGTCGAAAATCGCGCCGAATGATTTTCGGAATTATGAACCAGAGAGTCAGATTTTGACTCTACGGACGGAGAGGTTGGAACCGTGTGCGAAAATAACGGTTAATGGACAGGTCGATCAGGAGATTTTGACGTATTTGGAAGTGGTTTTTAAGAATTTGTCGTGTTGGAATGCGTCGTTTTTGGTTGACGAGCATTATTATTGCACGAGTAAGCATCACGGTGTGAATATGGAGGATGCCGAAAGGGCGTTTTCGTTCATTGCCAAAATTGAACATGAAACGATTAAGGATTTGGTGGGTGGAATAAATTAAAAAAAATATTTCGAATATATTTTTTGTTTCTTTAGATTTGGACTTCAATCACTGTTGATGTTTTGGACCAACTCTTGCCTTCGCCCCCCGATGTTGAAACGCTGAGAATTTACCTGGTTTTGCCTCTTTATCATGAATTTAACAATCCGAAACAACACTTAAAGTTGCATAAACCCTTTGCAAGTGCCCTTTTAAGACTGCGTCCACAAGCGAGTAAAGTTGTAGGAATCTGGTGGACTATGATGAGTTGTGATTACTTCGAACACTTGATACGAACTTTTAAATCTGTTGTGTCTTTCATTTTGAGAAATCAAAAAATTCCAGAAAATAAAGTGAGTTTCGGGAAAACACACTTCGTCCTCTAACTGTACATTTTTAGACCGTTTTTTACGATTCTAGTCTCGTAGCCATGTTAGATATTTTAACTTATTTACATAAACTTAACCACAGCGTAGAAGGTTTAAAGGTTCCGTATGACACCTTCTACATTCCGGATTTGAGCGACTATTTGGACATTCGGGTGGATTACGTCATGTGGCTCACCGATCAAAACGTAAGTTGTTCATATTTCCCGCCGTGAAATTGCGGAGTTGTGTCAAATATTGAAATATAAAGTAGCAGCAACAATGCAATTTGACTCAAAAATATTATGATACGAATTTTTTATATAAAACATTTAGTTATTCCTTTGTGGTTCTTTTTTTTTTTTGTAATAATTTTCGAGAGATTATTCCAAATCCGGAAAGAATTAGAATATAAAAATAATAATAATAATAATAAAAATTCGGTCAGTGTGTTCTGAAAATTTTATGAACGGTTGTCTACCTTCTGTCTAGGTAGTGCTAAAACCTATCAATTGTCTGTCATATTTATAAATTTGTGTCTGGGTTAAATACAATACAAATCTATTTTTGCCAATATTATTACCTTCTGGAATATCAAATTATTTATCCACCTATATTATAAGTGTTTAAACGCAAGCTATGCAAGACATACGTTCATGAAACTTTCGGACACTTGATCAGGCTTTTTAGACTTCGATATTGAACAATTCTTGTAACAAACTTTTTTCCCAAGTAGAAATAAGTTTCAAACTATACACATTGCATTTTTAATCAAAAAGTGTTAATGGTTGCCAACTGAGGGAGCCAAAAATCACTAAATTCAACTTTTAGACCGGAAAACTCTTTCTGTGTAATTACCCGTTTATCTTCGATGCTCCGGCTAAGACCCAACTTCTGGAGACCGATCAGCGACTACAGGTAAGTTTGCGAGTTTGAGTTTTGTGTGAAAACCCGAGATTTTTAGATGCATAAAGCAATGCAAAGCGCCGCTGAACAAGCCTTCCTCTCCATGATATTCCGACCCACAGGCGTTCTAAGTATTAACCAGTTTCTAGTTTTGAACGTTACTAGAGACCATATAGTGCAGGATGCACTCAGAGAGCTTAGTAATGTTGATCCTGACGATTTGAAAAAGCCGCTTCGGGTGAAATTTTGTGGTGAAGAAGCCGAGGATGCGGGTGGTGTGACAAAAGAGTTTTTCCTGTTGTTGTTAAAAGAAATACTCGATCCGAAATACGGGATGTTTAAAGAGTACGAGGAAACAAGAGCGCTGTGGTTTTCGGAAAATTCATTCGAGGAAGAACCGGTTTATTTTCTTATAGGACTCATTTGTGGCTTGGCGATTTATAATTTTACGATAATCGATTTGCCTTTTCCGTTGGCTCTTTACAAAAAATTGCTCAATGAACCGGTGGGATTAGCCGATTTGAAAGGGCTGTCACCAATGATGGCAAATTCACTGCAAAGTATCCTTGATTATAAAGAGTTTGATTTCCACTCGGTCTTTGATTTGTGTTTTGAGATAACTCGGGACGATTTTGGCGAGTCTAGAGTTGTAGAACTCAAGCCAAATGGATCAAATATTCCAGTCACACAAGACAACAAGTACATTAACATTTTATTTTAATAATTGTTTAAACAATGTTTTGTAGAGAAGAATATGTAAATCTTTACGTTGATTATATTTTTAATACATCGATTAAAAAGCAATACACTGCATTTCATCACGGTTTTATGAAAGTCTGTGGCGGCCGCGTACTTCAATTATTTCACTCTCACGAGCTTCAGGCTGTTGTTGTCGGTAATGAGAATTACGATTGGCACGCTTTGGAAGAAGTAGCAGAGTATAAAAACGGATACACGTCATCAGATAAGACAATAAGGTGGTTTTGGGAAGTTATCCACGAAATGCCTTTACAAGACAAAAAGAAGTTTTTGCTTTTTTTGACTGGTAGTGATAGGATTCCGATTCAAGGAATGAAAGCAATCAAAGTAAGTATCTTGTTTTTCACCGGTTTTTTGTACTGTTTCGTAATTTCAGATTATTATACAACCAACCAATGACAATAAATACCTGCCGGTTGCCCACACATGTTTCAATTTGTTGGATCTCCCGAGGTACAGCACCAAAGAAAAACTCAAGTATAAGTTGATGCAAGCGATTCAGCAAACACAAGGATTTTCCTTGGTTTGATCCGAGTGTGCTTTACTTGTTACCATTTACTTGATAAAGTTTTTTCTATTTTTTGTATTTGTTTTACGTTGAATGAAATATGGGAAATTAAATTAAGTAGTCACTTGATTGACTTTTCTTATTAATATTGTACGAAAAAAAACGCTTAATAGTGGCCACATTTTTAGTAATTTGCGTCACAATGTGAAAAACTACACGTATTTTTCTATGATTGTTGTGAGCTTCATATATTTTGTAAACGATGAAATAAACCGTTTTATTTTTATAACATGATTTATTTAAATTGCGTACATGGTACAAATATAAATCATTTGATACAATAAAAATATTTCGCAACAATAGCAAAGCTTCGAATCGAATATGACTCGCAAAAATTCGGCAAGCGGCTTAAACTCGTTTTAAATAAAAATTTATACATCTTGTTAGTAGCTTATCACAAACATAGCTAAACCAACTAGAGTCGCAAGCGGGAGCTTAGTAACATCTGTGATCATAGAACTGCGTTCCTGGGGGCGCTTTGTATCCAGGATATGAAGCATTGAGCGCATGTTGGGCGAAGAAATTCGAGTAGTCTTTTCGGACTAGTCGAGGCCTGCAAGCCGGGCCTTTGGCCAACTCCAGACGCTGGCGATTTTCCTCCTCCACTTGGCGTTTCACGCTTTCGGGGGGCCATTTCAGGTCCCCACGCAGGTGTTTGCCACCTGAGAAAAAAAGTTACTCATTTTGACAATTCACCTTCCGCAAGTACCTTTCAAAGTCGCCGTGGCTGGTTGCGACGTGACAACTGGGGGAGGAGCCTGACTCACAGGGGCCTGTGGGCGGAGAGTGATGGTTGCCGGTGGAGGCTCCACTTGTCTAACTGGGGGCTAAATAAACAAAAATTACATATTTGGGCTATTAAAATTATATTTATGCATGATTTCGTCCAATTTGCAGCACTGTTTGTTTTCGTATGGTTGGTAGGAGTGTTAAATCGGGGGTTAATCACCTTGAAATAAATACAGGAAATGTTTGTTATAATTTAGTGAACAGAATGCATAAATATATACACACTGGTCGAAAATTCACCATACCTGATTTGACGCACCCACTGGTTGAGCAGATTGCTGACTAAATTTTTTTTGTTGAGGTTGGTACTGTTGTGTTATTGGTTGGTATTGCTGAGTGGGAGGAGACTGGTAGTGCTGGGGCGGGGGTTGGTATTGTTGGGGCGGGGCTTGATATTGCTGGGGCTGGGCTTGGTAGCTGGCGGGCTGATTGGGTGTACCAACGGGAGAGTGGACAGGTGCCCACTGCTTATTGGCTGTGGCAGGCCGAAAAGATTGGGGACTGGGGTTAGAAAGCGGCGAATGCGGCTGGTAATTGGCCGTTCCGTTTGAAATATTGAGGGGTTTTAAGGGTGGGGGTTGGTGTACCTGCTGTGCAGGAGTGTAATTATTCTGCAAATTGGGTGATTGAGAGGAGTACTGGGGCCCACCCTGACGATAAAAATACGTTATGTAGAAAAAAATCACTGGGTTAAAAATTGTGCAAACAGATGGACCGTTTCAGCAGCGATTTTGCTGAAATGGTTCTTTCTGTTTTCAAAATAGTGCGAGGGGAAGTTTGAAATATACAAAAATTACTTACTTGTGCTTGAACTGGTGCTTCTTCGGTGTAGTTTTCGCCTTCGTTTGGAGGCGGCCAAGCGACTCTTTTCAGACCTGTGGACAAGCTCTCGGTTATTCTATGAAATGGAGGTTCTCAAAATAAATTTAGTTTGTAACACAACAACATATATTATTCGTATATAGTTGTTTATTGGAAGCGGCCAAGAAGCTTTTTTGTTAGTTTTTCCCACCGACCAAGTTCGTATTACCGATAATTTCGCGTATGTAATAAAAATATTTATACACTAAGCTCGGTACAGCGTTTATGTTGGGATTGGCCGAAATTCAAAATTTAATTAAAGCAACTTGCTCATATCGAGGTGTTTCAAAATTAGTGTATTTGGCGAACGGATCACCCACCCAAAATTTTAGTTACAAAGACACGAAACTACTCTACAAAAAACATCAAAAATTGGGGCGATCTCGCGCAGGCTCAATACCTGGAGTGACGACGTCTTTGAACGACGATCTTTGGAGGTTCTTCTGCTCGAATTCCGACGGGGGCCATTTTATTTGGTCGCGAAGGGGTCTACTATAGCCGACACCTAAGAAGTTTTTAGGGCGGGGACACACAAGGGTAAAAATAGGCAATCGCGAAGAATGAAAATCAAAATGGGAGGGGGCTGATTCAAAAATACAAAAAACAAAATTTGAGCACGTGCGTTAATAGAAAACTCGAGTCAAACATTAAAATTAAGTTCTATTGCCGTCACCATAACTTTTCAACGGTTGAAAGATTCCCAAGGGGCCTCGCCAAGATTTTAAAAGTTTTTGTCTCAGAGACCTTCAATCTATGACATTTTTACGAGCCGCTGATAGGTTGTTATGTCTCTGACACTTTTATACAAAAAAATAGAACAAATGCATGCAAAGTTAAATTATTACTTTTAATTTCCTTAAAACTCTTGAAACTTACCCTTTGTGTGTTATTTTTATTGAAATAATCCCAAAAATAACAAAAAAATTAAGTATTAGTCTATAAAAGATCAAATTTTGTTTTTGTATAAATTTCGTCTTAGTAAATCCTTCTGTTAGCATGAAAAATGCTTAATTAACCACAAACAAAGTCTTACTGGGTGATTGGCCACTCCTTTGCCTTTGTTCTTCCTCTTCTAGCATTCTCAAAACAGCCGAATTTTGCAGATTTGTCGGTTTCCCAACTCCGGGATTATTAAAATTGATTCTAGAATTTTAAAAATTATCACAAAATTGTGTTATTCTTCGGCAAACTACCTGTCCTCAACCAGGTAACTCATCTTTCCGGTGTTAGTATACAGAGCGACCCGAAAAATCGTTCAATGTTTCACGTTCGAGAGTAATTCGCGTACTGAAAATTGTCCGAGTTTTGAGTGGAATGAGGGCTAATCTTCGTCACTTTGTTTTCTTGATGTCACCACTGAATCATTGACTCAAAATAAAAAAACTATTTTGGTATTTGTGCATTAAGGAAATTCTACATTTCCTGATGTGAGCAGTGAACTCGGATTTACAAGTTGCGGTTTTATTGCATTGCTCCGCATCGCCAAAGCTCAAAAATAGCCTCTCATCTTTCACAAAATCTGTTTATGTAATTTGATTATTTACGAGAAAAGTGTGAAATGGCCTCATATTTTGCGGTTTTAGTAAAGAATGTCATTTTTCGCTTTATTCTCTGAAAATTTATTTTCAACTCGCATCAATCTTCCGCCCACTTTTGCCCGAAAAATCCCCACAATATTTAATTTTAAAAATTTCTCAGACGCAAATATGTCAATTAGGATTTGCCCCGGTTGAAAACATACCTGAATGGAAGCTTGCCAAAAATGCATTGTCTTACCCGACTGCTCCATTTGACAAAATTTGGGACTCTCTTTCGATCACTTCTCGAATATTCTGCTCGGAATATAAACCAATAGGAGAGTTGAACTGTTTGTTAACTAGTCTCGCCATTTTTCGGATTCTTCTCGCTTCTAAACTACCTGAAACTGAAATTTAAGTGGCCTCAGTGTAAAAATAAACCGATGAAGAGATCGATGAAAAGATTACTTGAAACAAGTGTGCTTTCAGCAAGTTATAAATAACTTAAAATCGAAATTGCAATTTTCTATCAAGATTAAGATGCATGTTTATAAAATAAATTCCATAAGTGTAAACAGGGCTTTTGTTTGTAAACTTTCGAAAAATTGTTCATTTTAGCAATCGCCTATAGAAACTCTAATTTCAAACAGATGTCTCAAGTGGCTATTTTTCGGTCTTGAACCCGAGTCAAAAACATGATTCACTGTTATATTTTTAAAATTCGCTATTCAATTTTTATGGGACATTCTAGTTTCATTTAAATTTAAAGTCACGGCCGAATTATTATTAAAGTCATACTTATTTATGTAACAGAGGTAAGTAAATTGTTATTTCAGATGTCTGAAGTCTAATTATATCCAGGACAAAAATTAATCATCAATTGTGAGTCAGACTGAAAGGTTTTTGTCAAAAAAGTGAATTCGTGGGGCACGCATTTCTAGTAAACCTCCACGCACTGAAAATCCCTTCCTTGATCTAATTCTGCTACTTTATTTTTAATTTAATTAAACGACGTGAATACATGACTTGATCCTAGTTATGATTGATGGTTTAGCACAAATATTAGTAAGCATGTGTTAAAAATAAGTTTTGATTAAATTACTATTTGTTGATTTGCAGCTACCTGAAATATTCGTTGCCGCTTTTCAGACGATCGCAGGGATAAACTGGCAAAAGCGATTCTCATATCCCACACTTCCCATAGAGGACAAGCGGGGGGCAAGAACGTAACTATACGCCAAAAATTTCAATAATCATTGACAATAAAATCTTGACAATTTTTCCAAGATTTATTACTCAATTCTTGTTTTTAAGCACACCTGGCGTAACTGCATCTCCAAAAATATCAAATTAGGCTGTTAAAAATAATTGCTATAGATTTTTGAGTGCGTGCGACTATTATATGCGTTTCACTTATAATTTTCGAGTTATTTTTGATTCTTTTACGTCGGCGGTCCCGAAATAAATGAGACTTTTGGACAAAACCGAAATATTTCACTCGAGGTTGGAAAAGTTTGCGTGCTGTGACAATTAAGAAAAATTTAACTGGAGGAATAATTTCAGTCTTACAAAAATATTTACTTTTACGACGAAAATTATTACTTCTGTTTACGACTACGTGACAATTTTACCAACATGGCAATATTCCAAAACACGTTTGTTCGGGATAATAAAAGGTGGGAAAGGGATTTACACAATAGATTTCGACGTGTTCGCGCTTTGGAAATATTTTTTGTATTTTTAGACAGGAATGTGAAGAACGACGTGAGGCATTGCACAAAGTGGAAACCTGTAAGGGAACATGATATATACAGAGGGCAATATTTTATAAAATAAAATAATACCTTGACTGCAACTTCCTAATATGGTGGATGCGCCGCTTTGTGTAGGAGGTAAAGTTTAGAATGAGTGTTACACAAAAAGGCATAAGTGTGATATAAGAGTATATTTCTAAAGAAAATATATAGCCACAAAAATTCGATAAAAGCCTAATCTACGGTTGATGCAGTGTTTGTTTGTGATGCCTCCTTAGCGACGACTTATCCGTGAACGACCTATCACAATCTCTACATTTGAAAGTCTTCCCCGTGTGAGTGACCAAATGCCGACTCAACCCCGACGCATGACAAAATACTTTAGGACACAAGGAGCAATAGTGTAAATTGATGTCATGCGAGCCTTCCGACATATGAGTCCTCAGGTGGATCCTCAGTGGCTCCCTCTGCGTAAAACCTTTATTACAATGGGTGCAATTGTAGGGTTTTTGCCCCGAATGTGTCATCAAATGCCGATACAAGATCTCCTTTTGGGCAAAACTCTTCTGACAAATCTCACACTGGAAGGGCCTTTCCCCTGTATGAATCCTCTCGTGACGCACCAAAGCCGATCTAGTAGGAAACCACTTCTCGCACATTCCGCAACTGAAACCCCTCTGCTGCATATGAACCGAGGCATGCCTCCGCAGCTGAATCCTCCGTGCGAAAGATTTCGGACATTGGGGACACTTGAAGATCTTCAATTCACCTTCTTCGTTAACTTCAGGCACCGTGGAGCTCATTTGGGGCGCTTCGGCCTCCTCTTCCGTCGTCAGTTCCATGACGATGACTGTGCCGTTCTCAGTGGTGACCTCCACTTGGGTCAACTTGCCTTCCGTGGGGATGATCTTCATTTGGAGCTGGCCCGACACATCAAAACCTGGTTGTGTGGCAAGAGTGGCTTTAACGGCGTCCGCAATCGCGTCGTAGCTCGTATCTTCCATTTCTTGGCTTGCCTCGTCTACGAAAATGACTCCGTCACCTTCATTCTCCTCGACGTCCATCACTTCTCTTTTGAGTGATTTCAAAGTGCAAGCGTCTTTATTCACGACGTCGGCATCTGCTGGTAAAGTGATGCTTTCGGGGTCGTCTTCAGGCTCGGGGTCCGGTTGGATATAGGCCACCTGGGTGACCCCAACCAAGTCTTCTTCCGTGCTTGGCTCCTTGGTTTCCTCCTCTTCCTTCTCTTGCACTTCCTCGACTGCCGGTTCGCTCTCCCCTGAAACGCTCAAATCGACGTCTCCGATTTTAGCCTGGAGACTCTTCAAATGTTGCCTCAGTTTCATATCAGAGTTTTCGCATTTTTTCCGAAAATTGTACGATTTTTCCAGTTGGAATTTGCACGGATGGCAGATCTTGTTAGGTAGGCCATCGCCTTCGAAAACCTGCAGTTTGCTAAGTGTAACAAGTAGATAACTACAATTTTTCGATTTTCTTACCTCGAGGGCGACACAAGCCATTATACGGAGGGTCAAAGGGATCGGCTCGTCGCTGTTGAAAATGGGTACTAATTCGTCCTCTTTTGCCATACATAATCGACATAATTCGTTCAAATCTAAGATCACGTCCTGAGCCTCTCCGGATTTCTTCCGACTATAAGTTTTCATTTTGTTGTAAATTATGATAAATCAGTTATCTACTTCACTTATTGCTAGAGACGCTCACTACTTTATCTGTATTTCCAATATGGCGGAATAGAACAAGACAAGAGCACTGATTAGACTACCAGATGTGACACTCGCTAACTTGACGTTGTAAAGTTTGGTTGACCTTGAACATGCGTGTTTAACAAACAGAGAGTAATAAAGCCCGCTCAGTTTAAATACTTGTTGTGTATTGGTTAATTTAAAATAAAGCGGGTAACTGCTAAGCGTTTTATAGCAATACGCACGTAAATTCAGAAATTAGAAATTAATCAAAAATCAGAAGTCAGAAATTGAAAATTAAAAATCAAAAATTAGAAATTAAAAACCAGAAATCAGACACTAGTAACCAAAAATTAGAAATTAAAATAGAAATTAGAAATGAGAAAGTTGAAACCAGAAATCAAAAATCAGAATTAAGAAACCAGAAATCATAAATCAAAAATCGGTAACGAATAACCAGAAAGCCAACTAATATTTCCTTCAGAAAAAGCATGATGAAAAGTGTCAGAAATAACATGAAATAAGATCGCGGTCAATTTATAGCGGCCACTTCCCCTTCCCTGTATAAATTTGTAAAAATTCTATCAAAAATGACAATTATGAAAAAGTCGGGTTAGAATACTTTACGCATAACATGTATTCCGCCTGTCAAAATTGTTGACACAATTTAATTACTTCTACTGGCAACATTGACACAAGCCACACACTAAAGCAGGCGGGCTAGGCCAACTTTGCAATAAATTAAGTGCCGACAGCAACAATATGAATTAACAGCAACTTTATTTTCATTCGTATATCAAAAAGTGTCACATCTGAGTTGTCTAATCTGTGACAGGAGTGACGTGCGCTGGAAGCCTATCGATTTTGCGCGCGCAGTTTTCATTATTACCGATATTTTTTAATACAAATAGAAAATAATTTTTTTCGAAATAAAAAATTATCCCCAGCGCGAATACTTGCAGTTTTCTAAATATAAGGCGTTTTATTTAAACAAAGTCGGTCGTGGCCACGAATCAAAATCAATCATTTGAGAAAATCAATAATGAAGAAATTCAACGCCAATTGTTCTCTTGGTATATGTCTTGTACAGGGTATTTTCTGCTTTAAATAGTTAACCCAATGTTAGATTACACAATTTAAGAGCAAGAGAATAAAAACCACGATAAAAATTGAAAGTTTTATTAGTATAAAAACAAAAATTAACTAGTGGTGGTGAGGAAGGCGCCCTCTACTGATGGTATTTCCACATAGCCCTAAAGCAATCGTAGTGGGCTTTCGGCAAAATGTCTTGTTTCGTGGTGGTTTGGTAGATGTCAGCAATGCGTGGGTTTATGGCCCCCTGGTGGGAAAATCTGAACTAAACGATGCATAATTTCGCTGATTCTTGACAATTTATTTTCCGATAAGTTGTCGTGTCGTGCGTGGAAGGGTGTGTGCCCAGTAAAAACCCGCGTGTGCTACTTAATGTGGTGGCTACAAGAGTATTAATCTTCTAGAGATATTTTCTTAGTAAGTATTTCTCCCTTTGGAGCAAGTGTCACGTTTACAAAGACGCTTCAACATCACAGTTACAAACACAAGTACCGGTACTGCCTGTTCAAAGGCTGACCTGAGTTTTTGCCTTTGGGGGCGATTCCTCCTCAGGAACCATCCCCGTGGTTGGAAGTTCGCGAAAATTATCTGAATTGTGTTGGTAATTTAATTAGGACGTGTGTCGAGTCAGGTGGCGTACCACTCGACCGTGTAAATTATCAACATTTGCATGTTGGCTGCAAGAAAATGGTGCTGTGTGAATTGCACTCTGGAAAAAATGACACCTAATTGACCAATCGGCGGCGCTCACAGCCGACTATTTGTTGCGAATTTCGAGCCCTATTCACACGAGGGTCTTTTCTGTTGCAGGTTTTTTGGTTCGAGACAAGACTGCCAACATGCCGAAATCGGTAAGTAGAAGAGGTAATTCCGTGTTGACGCACTGCACTGTGAAACACCTGTTGATTGGGTGTATGGTGGTGAAAGTTACATTTCACTGTCAATAACTTTTAAATATAATGTCGGGTAATTTGGAAAATTAGTGCCTTCAATGACTATTTTTTTTACAATGGAAATGTTTAAAAGGAATTAAACTACATCATTGATGGTTAAGTTGCAATGAGCTATTTTTGGTTTTAGGGTCACATAAAAACATGGTATTAACCACTACAATGGTTCAGCGGCCATTTTGCTAATTTTAGTGTACTTTACTCCAACTAAATATTTCCTATTATCACATACCTTGATAAGTAACGCTTGAATTAAGGCGAAATTGTAAAAGAAACAATGAGTATTGTTTATCTAAACTATTTCCCATTATCTTGATTTATTTCTATTACTAAAGAATCCATAAATTTTGTAGTTAAGTAAAAAAAGTGTACCGACTTAAAAGCAATGAAATATTTTACTCGTATTGTTCTGCATAGTAATTAGTGTTTTTCTGATAATATGTATCACATTTTGCTGTCTTTACATGATAACTCAATTAGTCAGGTCTTGAACTACTACCACTTTTTTTAGTTGGACGATTTAGGAACCACTTGACGTAGTTATTAGCTTACTCAATCTAAATGTAAAAAATGCCGTAATGAATATTACAACATTAAAATGAGTAACATTTTAAAATATCATCTTATCTACAATATTATACATACAAGGCGCTCGTAAAGTGGCTGGCGCACCAACTCAAAGAAAAAATAGATAGATAGAAAAGTGGTAGGGAAACACGTTAAAGTCTGCTTTATTTAATAAACAATTGTCATTGTCAAAATTTATTGAGACTATGTTGTACGGTGGTTTAGGGTGCTAAACCTGCAATGTATGTGAGGTCATCTTTAGATCATAATCTTTAATTAAAAAAATTACCATGGTGGGTTGCCATTTAAAAAAAAATTCCAGAACTCGAAAACTAAAAGAAATTTCGAAAAATGTTATTCTTGATAAATGGTCACATTTTAATTGTACTTTACGCTACACTAATTATTTTATTCGTAAAGTGCGTAGTTTACGAAAAAAACGCTTAGTTCCAAACTTTTTATTCAGGTATACAGTTTAGTGATGTTGGGTTAAGTCCTATCAGTTGGCAGTTAAAAGACACGATTAAAAATACTGCTAGATCCTGGAAGTAGATGTAAAAACAATTATCTGTCATTGATATATGAAACAATTTACTTGAAGTATGAAAACTTGAGAAAATAATAAGTTTATAACTTCAGATTTTGTAAAATATGACCTCAACATATTTTTCTTATAATCTGCATATGCTTCTCAACAACGGACCACTGAGTTCATGTGCCACTTTTTGAGCCCCCCTGTATTTGCCAACAATTACTCATCATAGTAGGCAGTACCAAACAAATGAAATGTCCACAGTCTACTTGATTTATTCCAATTCAAGGGCATCAAGATAGTGGGTTGACCTGTTTAATTACTAATAAGGTTTTGTTTTGTTTTTGTTTTTATTGTTATTTCGTCATCTTCTTGTCTGTTACTCTTGTAGGAAACGTCAGTTCCGTCATTTTCACATGAAAAACAATAATTCACACACCAATTGTCTAAGACAGTCATTTGTTCCGACCTCGTCATCTTCTCCACTCACCTAAGAAAGTTTGAATTTTGTAACGACCGAAGATTAAAATTTAAAGTGTCACTTAATTCAATAAAGAGCTATTAATTGCTCTAAATGTCATCGAGATCAGATTATTTTGATTCATTATTCACACTCTACTTTTCCCGAAATGACAAATAATCACTTTGTGTGTTGTAGTTATTGTTTACAGACATCTTGAAACTTAAAATAAAAATGATGATATAACAGGTGCTGTGGAGCAGATGCCCCCCTATGTGGCTTTGCTCATGCCCACACTTGATTCATGAATTCGAATATTACTATTGGTGCTTTCATTCAATCGACGGTTTGCCTTATTCCCTAGACCTCAACGGTCTCGGCTGTGTGTTCAAGTAATTCTACCGGTTTTAGTGGAGTGAAGTTTACCCTATTGGAACCAAGTCCGTTGCAGTGAAACAGTGTATAGATTTTAATTTTTCGGACAATTTTCTTCAAAATGGTGTCCAGCAAATTGGTAATACAATTATTTTTAATAATTTGTAGAGTCACGGTTAAAATAAACGGTTACGAACTTATGCAATGCTTAATTATATTTTTTTATTATTGAATGACTCACACTATAAACAAGATAACAAGAAATTTAATTATTAATTAACTAATCTTCCCATTTTTAACTTGTGATTAAATTTGAATAATTATTCGATTTGGTACCACTGTAATTGTCAAAGTGAAACTTGGGTGCAAAAATGTACAACTCGTCATACATAATTAACTAAAATGTAAATTCTGCTCTTGTTTCGTTGAATTTTCATGTGACAAAAACAAGGCTAGGTTTTAACCATCTCATTTATAAAAAATTGGCCATGACTACCACCCTGTATATCGTCATAGCCAACTATGTGATTTGGTACTTTTTAGAAGCCTGGTAACACTAATCGTAATTTTTATTATAATTGATTGCTCACGTTTAGTTTAGCCTTGGCGGCGATAACTGTTACGTTACAGGGTGCTACACTGAAAAAAAAAATCGAAAATGTTTGTATATTTTTTAACCAAATTGTGTAAATTATGAATAAATATTTACAAATTTATTGGTATGATTTTGCTGATTCTTGGTCGGTTTAAATTTAGACGTAACGACTATAAGTGGATGTGAAAAATTGTATATTTTAGCAATTATAGTCGTTGATAACGTATTATCGAATCGAAATTGTTTGAAGTTTGACGGAGGTGTGCGAAAAAACACCTTCATGTCGTAATGGGATTTTGTGTTACAATGATGTTAGTAATAGTTACAAATTGGAATAAAAAATTTATGTTGCCTTGTAATTATTTGCATATCGATTTGAAGGTTGAACGTTATTATTTTTTCAAACAATTGAGGAATAATCGCATTATTTCGATACTTACGTCTTAATGGAAGATGAGTCTGAACTTGACTGATATTCTACTATAGAAAAAGACACACAATAAATATTTTGTCACGTGATTTATTGTCAAATTATGTAATTTTGTATATAGCTAAAACTCTTATCTTGTCGTTTATATTTTTAATAACCTTTGTTTATTTTTAATCTAATTACAATATTTTTATTAAGCAAACTTGATAACTTTCCAAGACGATACCAAAGCTACACAGTGTTGTGAGTGCGATGAAATTTTTTAACACGGACAAAATGTACATTTTAAAACGGCGTTATTGTCCTGATACAAAAGTAAATTAATTGGAGGTGTATACAGGGTGTATAGTTATATTTTGGTTTCAGATGAATGTAAGGGTGACCACCATGGATGCGGAACTCGAGTTCGCAATCCAACAAACAACATCTGGAAAACAACTCTTCGATCAAGTTGTTAAAACAATCGGATTGAGGGAAGTTTGGTTTTTTGGACTACAGTACACCGATTCTAAGGGTGATCTAACTTGGATTAAACTGTACAAAAAGGTAAAAATGATTTTTGAACCGATTTAGATATTATCCAAATAGATTTTGTGTTTATTTATTTCATTACGTAAAATTGATAGAACATAAGTGTTATTGATTTAGATAGTTCAGGTTGATTGTATTTATTGTATTTTTAATACGACCCAAATGATAAAGTTTTCTATGTCGAGGATGTGTGAAACAACCGCCATTTGGTTGTGGTCGTAGTTATTACGTCATTGTTAGCAAGAGATGAGTGACTCATAACCGACCATATTAAAAATCAAGTGATAAATCCATTCGGCGAATTGAATTTTGCGTTTTTAACGACATTGAGAGTGCATTAGTTATTTTTAAATTGATTATGTCAGAGACGAATTTTGCCACCTGTTGTGGGCGGGAGCCCGGCCTTAAAGGTCACGAGTCGTACTGCATTTATTTTTTTTTTTTCAAATTTTTAAAAATACCTTAGAAACGACATCATCACAGTGAATCATTAATTTTATAATCGGTAACCACTTAGTAATTTGTTTGTTTTTTAACACCAAGTAGTAATTTTTATAATTGTTTAAAATTTCGTGGTAAAAACAAATTTTTTGACCGATTTTTCGTGTCAATGTCGACAATACCATCATTCTTATAAAACATGTATAGGTCATGGCGAGTTAAATAATGCACTACTTGTCTTAGCCATAATAGATGAAGGACGTTTGATAACGCATAAATAAAATATTTTTCCATGTAGTAGCCCCCAAACCTTCTTTGTTGGTATTTTTAGACCCCTTCAGAAATAGATTGAAGAAAATTGTTTTTCATCATATTTGTTTCATTTTAATGCAGCCGGACTCAATCATACAAAGAAGTTTCAAATGTTTTAAACAAATAAAAAGCTTTCAGTCGCGTTCTTTGTTTTTAAATATAGAAGACGAAGAGGATAATGAATTGGTAAGTACGAAATTTGCCCCAAAATAATTTCGAGTACCTTCTAAATTTAGTTCCGGATGTTGTTGAAACATCACAAAAATCTAAAATTAATTCGCGATATTTTTTGGCTACAAATGCACACATTTAATGCAATTGACGTCACAAAGCGGAAGACTGATAATCGTGAAACAAATCCGAATCGATTTTTGTTTTTTAATGGAACATTACTATAGACAAAACTTCAATCATTAATGACCGGATATGATGGGGGGGAAAAACGGAAATACAAAAGTTTTGTCCTTGTCTGGTAACGGAAAAGCACATCATGATTCGTTCGGTCAAAATTTTGAGTTTCTATTTATGTACTCATTTACCATCTCGCTTTCTCGACGATTAGAAAAATCATTTTGCATAAAATCAGGCCGTTTAAATTTTCTAAAGACAAAAAGGTGCGACTTGGAATGTCAAGTGAATGTTGATAACTCAGTGTAACAATCGACTTGATGCATATTTTCTTCTAACAAATTTATGAATGAGATTATTAAAACGAGTCGTTTTTCTAAATATCGGAAATCGATTCAGCTCGGATTTTACTTTTACAAGGCCATTGAAAGTCATCTCTGTGTATAAGTACATTCACTGTAACAGAATTCTTGAGTAGGTCAATAGCTCGGATGACAAGAAATTCCCTACAGGTCGGATCTCGAAACTGGGATTTTAATTATGATAATTGGGTAATTGTTTAATAAAAATGATATTTAATGGCGTGTCTAGGCTGTAAGAAGCCACGTGATTAAATACCGTACATTGCATAAGAAAATACTTCAAATTGGAATTATACATTGCTACGTTGGCAAATTTACAAGGTAATAGTCGGCAAGGTTAGCCGAGAAACAACGATGCACAACAAATTATAGTATCTTTATTCTTACGTAACGTCTATAAAATATCAGAAATTCTTTTTTACGCTGTTATTTCCTGTCATTAACTCATTTACATATTTTCCAGGTGATGAGTCAAGATGTGAAGAAAGAAAATCCACTCCAATTCAAGTTCCGTGCCAAATTTTATCCTGAAGATGTCGCCGAAGAATTAATTCAAGATATCACTTTACGTTTATTTTATTTACAAGTCAAAAACTCTATCCTATCTGATGAGATTTATTGTCCTCCTGAAACGTCCGTCCTTTTAGCTTCCTATGCCGTTCAGGCTCGATATGGTGATTATTGTAAGGCCGTTCATACGTCCGGATTTCTCTCAAACGACAGACTTTTACCACAAAGGTGATTATTTTACAGAGACAGAGTTGTGTGACAAAGTTTATTTATTAGCGCAAACACACTCAAGGAGCTTGTAAAACTTATCTACTTTACACACACTGATAAAATAATAACACAATTTAACAGGAATGCGCCTAAAAAAACATTTTTCTTCCATCTTTATGTCCTTTTAATATACAACGTGTTTAAAAAGTTCAGAAAGAGATGTTTTAAAATTGGTAAATTTATTAAATCTTGTCATAAAATATAATTTGAATTTTTAATAACAATAGGAGCCAAATTGATCTTTGGAAACAGCATTTTTTTCTGTGTTCAAGAGAGAATAGCACATTTATATCTTATCTTTCAGTAAAATTGATTAGTTACTAGTTATAATGTAGATTATGACTAAGATAAAAAATAATACAGAAAATATCTCTTAATGAAACTATTAAAACATGAAAAATTTGCTTTCTAGTTCCTGATATTCTGTTGAATTCAGAAAATAATAATTGCAAATTGTTTTACAAAGTTTGAAATACCAACTTTTAAATATCTAATTGTTGCAGAACTTTTGGAACTCTTTTGTAAACATTTTTTTGTTAACAGAATGGTTTCTACGAGCCATAGTAGGTATGGTTTGTGTGTAAATCTAGTTTTGTGATGGATTTATTTGTATATTTAGTCACAAATCTAACCTACTTTAATGTCTTAAAACCAGGAATGAAATTGTAAATATTGCACGAATTCATAATGTTGTTTGTTTAATTCAAGTTTATTTACTCGAGGTGTGTCATAATCACGACTAAACCAATTGTCCAGAAACATTTCTTGTAAAACATGTTAAACCAATGATTTTCAGAGTCATGGACCAACACAAGATGTCGAAAGAGGAGTGGGAGCAGAGCATTATGACCTGGTGGAAGGAGCATCGTGGGATGTTGCGCGAAGACACCATGATGGAATACTTGAAAATAGCCCAAGATTTGGAAATGTACGGTGTGAACTACTTCGAAATTCGCAACAAAAAAGGCACTGAACTCTACTTGGGCGTGGACGCTTTGGGACTCAACATTTATGAAAAAGACGACCGATTAACTCCCAAAATCGGTTTTCCCTGGTCGGAAATCCGCAATATTTCGTTCAACGATCGCAAATTTATCATAAAACCCATCGATAAGAAAGCTCCCGATTTCGTATTTTTCGCGCCTCGTGTTCGAATAAACAAACGGATTTTATCTCTGTGCATGGGTAATCACGAGTTGTATATGCGACGTCGAAAACCTGACACTATAGACGTGCAACAAATGAAAGCCCAAGCTCGTGAAGAAAAACTAGCCAAACAACAACAAAGGGAAAAACTCCAATTGGAAATCGCGGCAAGAGAACGCGCCGAAAAGAAACAACAAGAGTATGAAGATAGGATTAAAGCGATGCAAGAGGAGATGGAACGAAGCCAAGCTAATCTTCTTGAAGCACAAGAGATGATCCGACGTCTCGAAGAGCAATTGAAGCAGTTGCAAGCGGCTAAGGAGGAATTGGAAAAGAGACAAAACGAGTTGCAAGCGATGATGGAGCGTTTGGAGGAAAGTAAGAATATGGAAGCTGCTGAACGTCAAAAGTTGGAGGAGGAGATTCAGGCTAAACAATTGGAGGTGCAGAGGATTCAAGATGAGGTGACGGCGAAGGATAATGAGACTAAGCGTCTTCAAGAAGAGGTTGAGAATGCACGTCGCAAAGAAGAGGAGTTGAAGGCACAACAAATGGCCAATGCAACCAAAGGCCATCTCGAAGAGAATAATCACGATGAGGATGATGAAATGGTCAATGGGGACGTGAGTAAGGATTTGACCACCGATGAGAACATTGTAGATCCTGTGGAGGACAGACGCACCCTTGCTGAGCGCAATGAGCGTCTCCATGATCAACTTTTGGTGAGTTCTACTTGAAATCAAGTCGGAAATTAATTTTTCTTTTAGGCTTTGAAGAAAGATCTTGCCCAATCGCGGGATGAGACGAAGGAAACTGCCATGGACAAGATCCATCGAGAGAATGTACGTCAAGGCAGAGATAAATATAAAACTCTGCGTGAAATACGTAAAGGTAACACTAAACGTCGCGTGGACCAATTCGAAAATATGTAAATCACAATCAAATCAAAATTCCATATTAAAACTTTCAATGCTCAATACGAGAGATCATGTTAAATTTAAGTTTTGGTTTACTTACCTCTAAGTATGATTTTTTTCCAATGTAAGATAAAAGTGCTCATTTAAGTGGCCTTAAAGTTTTTCAAATCTTAGTTACATTTTCATTCTTGTTTTGTTGAAAATTATTTTTGTTAGAATTGTGATATGATATGAGAGGAGAAAAAAAACAGATCTGTTAATTCACTTTCTTTTACATTTAAATAGCTTAAACGCATTCCACGTAATGGTAGTTTTCCTTCTAATTTTAGTGCCATTTGGTTAACGGGCTATACAAAAATAATACTTTTTTAAATTCGAATTGATTCTAATATCAACAGCAAAAATACACTTTTCTTGGCCTGGTGCTTCCTTTATTGTGTAAATAAAAGTTACAATTCGTTTTTTCTACTTACTGTATTTTTATCGTGGTTAAAAAGAAAGTTTTTACAATATTTTTTCTACAATACTTAATCTTTTACTTGTTACATATCGTAACGTAATGTACATAACATTTATTTTTTAAAGACCATGATGCCTTTTAGGTAGGTTTGGATGATATTTACACTGTAGTATGTCAGATGGGTGAGGAAAAACCGTTCTTCAAATGGTTTTTAGGAAAGAAATTAACTAATCCTTATTTAAAGTAAACTGCAGATATCAAAAATCTGTTCTATTATACATTTATATAATATATATTTATCTTGCGATCACTTGTATATTGTACATCCTAAAACTACGTCGCTAGTTTTTAACATTTGTATTCTTCGTAGTTTATGAGTTATGTACTATTAGTATAATTAATAAATATTATTTGGAAAACAAGTTTTTCATTTACTCTTTTACAAACCTGGAATTGTGAGTCTTCGAAAATAAAACTCTAATTTATCATCATATTTTAATAAAAACAAACAACATTTATAAAATTTAAATAACATCACTTATACACCAACACAATAGAATCGGATACATTATATTTTAATGAGATTTTATAGTAGATACATAGTAATTGACTAGGACCATTTTAATTGTATTATTTCTTAGTAAACTTAAGTACACAATAAAATTTTCAATGACAACAACAAAAGTCAACAATTATAATACCGTATTGCTCAAACGTTTTTCTACATTTTTTTGATTTGAATTATACGGTGCTATCTATAATAAAATTATTAGATGATATACATTTTATATTTGTGATTATAAAAATACATAAGTCCTAAAATTAGATAAATTTGCTTTTAGAAATACTGAGCTATGTTTTACTAATTACTAAATTAAAGTATATCACAGTTGAAGAAAACTAATTTAAAATTGTACACTTTTTGACGGTAACAGTATTGGAAAGATTTTTCAATACTTTTCCGTTACTAAACTCCAAAAGATTGTTAGTCGCACATAAATGCAATTCTCAATGGATCTAAGTGCGCCTTATTTCTCTATTTTTATATTTAGTGGAAATGAAAACTATCTAACAAATATACATATCTTTTTGTTACAAAAGATTCTATGGGCCAACTATGAGCTATCATGCTTTTATTAACTAAATTAATATTCTAAGCATTTTCATTAAAATAACAGTTTTAAAATCGTATTAAAAAATAATTTATTGTCAGTTTATTAACGCAATAAACCGAATTTATTGTGTTCATTAAAAATGATTTATTAGTATTTCGGCCACTATTTCCATTGCGATTCTACTATTCCGCAAAAGTGGGTGCTTTCTGGACAAAACGGACATTTATACCTAATTTTGTTATTCAACATTTTAAAAATACCTATAAAAGCGCACATTTCCCCTATCTTATTTGTATAACATTGAGTTTTTGTCCGAAGCAATCAGATCCATCGAGATCACCAACAGAATTCCAAAAACGTCACACTTATATTGGAAATGACACAAAAAATGATTGTTTTATTCCGATTTAGCAGCTTTATGCCATCCTGAGTGTGCTAGGGGAAGGTGAGCACGAGTGGATCACTCTATGTGTGGGCGATCCAGGACTTCCAGTCGATAAATTAGGTGTCGGATGTCTCGTCCGGACGTGACGTCACAACGGGTAAAGTTCATGTTGGCCCACTGAAGAGTAAGTCACGCTAGTTGGAGCGCTCTCAACCACATGGGAGTTAAAATACTGAAAGAATACAATCGAGTCAATGGCGAATAGGCCCCTGACACTTTTTTTTTGATGAATGGGTGTCAGTGACCACATAAATACAATATGGGTGTGCTGAATCGTAAGGAATAGATAGACACATAGTTGCAAGCCTAGTTGTTCGGATTGTTGACGGCGAGAGATAAAAGAAAATATATCGCAGACGCCGAAGCCCTATCGGATTACCACATCATCCAGAGCCGCTTTAATACGCCCGAAAATAGAACGGGGATGTTTCGTAATTTATTTACTTATTTGCTGCTCGCTAAAAACAAAATTCGATATCATTGTACGGATTTTCATGACGAGGCTCTGAAGCAATTAAGGGTCTACATTGCAAACTTCTGGGTTTCACCGATAAACAAACATCCCATTATTTTTTATCCGATAAAATAACATTTTAATTCCACACCACTCAAATCTCGCGAAAACTTTACGGAACAATTAGGCTTGCTTTGGAATTTAAGTATCCAGAAACTAAAAGTCGTTCAAAAAACTGAATGTTAGGACCCAAACTCGATCCGGATTATAGGTTAGCCCAGCGTTTCCTAAACCAGGAAATATTTTCATAAAAACTAGATTACACTTCAAATTACACGATAACACTACTTTACAAAAAAAATACCCAAAGATAACACTAATTTACACAATTTTTTTATGTTATAATTTCTTATAGATTTTGAGGCACTAAATTAAAAAAAAATCACCACGTCACGTTTAAAAATAAAATAATAAAAAAAAAACTAAATAATTAAAATAATAATAAAAAATGTAAAAATACAAGAATGGCCAAACAACAAAGTAAAAATAAGTTAGGTATTTTATTTTTTTTAAATATTTTTTGGATCGGTTTCCTTTATACCAGTCCGACAGTAATCTCCTAACATATTTTTATCCCAAAAACCTTTGTGCCGATCTTCGAAAACCTTTCAGACCATGCTTCCTAAGGTTTTAGAAAAGAAGTGCAAATGCTAGTTAATGAAATGTATTCCAAGACCCATTTAGACCTATCTGGTGATAATTTTGCAATAATTCAGCAACAGTTTGAATTTCAAATGAATTTTAAATCGGAGGCATTTGTGCAGAAAGTAGGAAAATTATCATTCGTAACAAAAAATTGCGACGTGGTAAAAAATAAATTATTTTTGTTTAAATAAAGGTAAATAAACATAATAATAATTTGATTGGTATATTAAACAAGTTATTATTTGTAAACTGGTGTAATTTCACTAATTTTGTTTTTCTACATTGTTATCAGTCACATACAGGATGTAGCAACTAAAATTTGTGTCCAAGTTTGGAAAAAATGCTCTTAAAATTTTAACAAAAAATTCAAATAGCAAGAGGGGTCGAGTGACACATTATTTTGATATTTTGAGCAGTTATTCGTTTTTTCATAATCACATTTGCATAAAACACTTGCATAGACAATGAAAGCAATTTCAAAATGATGTCACTTATTTAAATTTTTTGAAAGAGTGTCTTTAGACTTTAGAGGGATGCAGAAATACCTTTAAAACAGATAACTTTTGGTCTCACTTTAAGTTAAAATTGACTTATTTCAACATATTTTCGAAACTTGCACGAAATCGGAGATTTTAGGGACCGCAAATTTTAGTTGGGACAGCCTGTATATTCCTGGATCTGTCTTAAAAAGGCCAATCTCCATTTTCATTATTCAAAGATATTAATTTCGCAAGCTTTAAATGCAATATGGCTATAATTAATAAATAATTAATAAATTAATTATGTGTGAATAACTCCAACAGAAGATTGGCCTTTTTTTATCGATAGAAATAAACTCGGGAATTTTAGTGTTCGAGACATCTCAAAAACAATTAAAGTGGAGATTGGTTTTTTATTAAGACTAATTGCTAAACATTTTATTTGTTTTGAAAGAGTGTAAAAAAATTTGTGGACAACAATAAAACAAAGAATGATGAAGAAATTGTTTCCAATTTATTGAAGAATTACAACAAAATGGAGGTCAATAGGTCTCTTCATTTCTTACACTCATACTTGTTTTTTTTTTCTCTTGAAAACAACAACATTGTGAACATTTTCATCACGATGTAAAGTTCGATGAAGGGAGGTAGCAAGGTTTTTGGGGCTACATTAAGAAAAACTGACATAATCAATGTAATCTGTGTTATGTTGTTTTGCTTGGGAAATACATGTGAAATACTGATATAATAATAGTTTAAAAAACTTGACGTTCTAATTTTTTTACATCAATATACAACTTAGGGTAAATTATTCTACCAATAATGGCTTCATCTATGGGTAAATAAGTTTTTGTAAATTGGTTATTGAGATAATTGAAAATAAAGACATGTCTCTCTATTTTCATTAGGTTCTAACTCTCTTTTAGGAAGCAGTTTTTAGATATAAATCAGGATTTTTTTCTATATTGACTTAAGGAATTACCCTCCAAAAATTTCTAGCGATTTTTCAGGACAACTGTTTGTTTTTTACATAATGAGGGCCTCTTAAAATCCTGTAAAAAGTTTGAGAAACGCTGGATATAGCCTTTAGTCGCATTTGAAGTTCTACAAATTGTAACAGTTCTTCAATTTTAGGTCAAAACGGCTTAAATTTTTTGTTTTTTTTATGAGCTTTCCGAAAATCAATTCCAAAATTTTTGACCCGACTTCCTGAATACTTGTGAATATTGTGAAAGTAAATACATTTGTGGATGAATCTCTCTGTGTATTATCTTGAGTGTGTTCCTAACAGGCACATTAAATATATAATCTGGAACTGCATGCGGACTAAATTCTTGTGAACACTATTCACATCAAACTACCAGAATGTAAACACAGAGAACAAAGAGATAGATTTGTGGGGTAATAATGTGGGAGACATCTAACAGTAGACATTTTATTACAATATTTTTCGTGGTCCGAGCTAGAATAAAGTTGCGTCGATGGCCTAAGACAGTAAACAAAACCAGAAACCTGAAATGTTAACTGCATCTTGTTTTTTTAACAATGCGCGTTTTGAAACACGATTATCCAACTCCGTTTTTCATTAAAGAGAAAATTGAATGAAATAATTTCAAGTTTTGTTAGTATCGAAATGCGTTATTAACTCCGTGATGGGAGAAAACTTTCTAATTAAATCACACTTAAAACTTCACTGTGCTCTTTTTAATTGGGTACAAAAAACTAATTCCTTCGCAATTTAATTTGAATACTCTTTAAAAAATGACGCTTCTAGCAAAACAATGAACAAAAAGACGGTGACAATTTTGTGCAAAAGCAAGAATCTGAGAAAACACTTAGTGCGAGACGTTACACATAGCTCGCAGCAGTGGTATTGGACTGGTCGGGAGATTCGCACGAAGAATTCCTGTTTATTATTGATGGAGCTTGCATGAAATTGCCGCTAAAGATCGATCCTTGCCTCAATACTACCAGAAATGAGAAAGTGCTATCTGCACTTATCCAATGAAAAATTTATCGGACGAAATTGAAATCTTGACGGAATTACGGGGTGCAGGAACTACCACCCTGCAATTCAGATTAATCGTTTCGCTCTGTATCGGCCGTCGGAATCTCTCAACCGAATAAAAATATTAGTGTTGCAAAAAACAGCCAGTCCAATACTCCGCTCGAGTTGATTGAAAGTCCACATACCTTGAGCACACGCGCCTCGAGGCCGAAGGAAAGAAGGAGAATTTGGGTGGATGGTCAATGTTATCGCATTTAAAAATAGAAAAGTGACGTCGATCGGGCAAAGGGTAAGTTGGGGGCGATCTCCATGGAAGGCCGAGGCGGGGCTGTGTGCTAAATGTATGTCTGCTCGCAGGAGTTATGGCGGAGAGAGTACGAAGAGTAATAGCGCTGCGATGAAAACCTCTGCAACAATTACAGTCATCATTCAGCGGCCTCGCAGCGTTAAATGATTTTTTAAATTTACATTATTGTGGTTTTAAACTCGATCAATATATTCTACTGAAAAGAGTCGGCATGCAGTTGTTGCAGTTCGAAGGAGACTATCGGCAAAATGCAAACAAGGTGCAGACCTTTACTTACGACGCACAAATCCGTCAATTTTTAAAAATAACTAGCTTATTCCTAAAAATAAAACGAGTTAAATCTGCTCTAAAACGGTTCTTGTAAACGGAAGCCTTAGCTGAAAAAAAGAAAATCAAAAACTAATTATATCATATCACGAGAGAGTGTTAGTTAGTGGCTTACTGAAAGAACTTTTATATTTTTTGAGATTTAAGTCCGGTGGGATTTTGGGGTCTCAAAAGTGTTTTTTACCTGACTTGGTTTACTTCGGAAAGCTGGTTGATATCGGCGCCTTATTTGCCGAGGACAGCACACACACAGAATCCTTAAAAAGGCCCTGAAAAAGATATCATTATTAAACGATTCTAATTTTCTTTCAACGGAAACTATTTATTTATTTGGCAAACAAGTTCGTTGTTTGTTAATTAAAATTTTGAGTTGCACGATATAGAGATGGCTGTTATTTACTTTTTAAAATTAATTACATTAAAGTCTAGTCAATTAACGGCCCAGACTTTGATTGATGGTGGCCGAAAACAGACAAAGCAACTTGAGCGCGTTAGGAATTTCCCGCAGAAAGGTCAGATAACAAACGTGGCCCAATCTTGTAATTGTGTTCCCTGAGAAACCCAGAATTTAATAAATTTATGTTAATATCTTATCGTATGATTTTTTGGTCGGAAGAATACCTGAAATGCTCGAACGCACATTTTCAATATTGAATTTTCAATAAAATCTTTCGAGAATTCCATATGTTATAGACTCCGAGTTTTTTCGTCTAAACATATCAAAAGCATCGGCGCCAACAACAGACGGATGCACCCATTGAAAAATGAAAATAATGTACTCTTGCTTAAGGTAAAAAAGTAATAGTAATAACGTTGCATTTTTTAAAATCACTTTTAATGTCAAAGATGTCTTAAATTTTCTATTTTTCTATTTTTCCCTTTGAGAAAATGGATCAAATTCATCGTTTATGTTATTCTCTTTTGTTTTTCCATTTTTTCAAATTAATTCAAAATTAAACTCTTTAGTGAAAAACTCCTTTAAAAATATTTCTTACTATTTCAAACACTTTAAAACGACAATAGTTATTTTTTGTTGTTGTAGTAAATCTACCGCGTATTCACGAATATTGATGGGGAGACTAAATATGTCATAAGGTTTTTTTATAGCCTAATGTACGCCCAATAGCGCTAAACTGTTTTCTCGAACCGGTTGATCAAAGTTTTACAAAAGAATTAAAGGAATTAATTGTTTCTGAACATTGTGTAATCTTCATCAAAATGAACATATGCAATTGCATATGTTATTTATTGATTTTTTTTTCTTTTGTACTAAGTATACAAAATATTATCTTGCTTTTAAATTTTCTAAATACTCAATACAATAAATTCAGCAAACATAAGGAAGAGTGCTCAAGTTCTGCAAGTTATGCCAATTTCTTGTTTATGCATCCATTCAATATGTGAAAAGTCGGCGCCTATGATCAAATGCGGGAATTTGTGTCACAAAAACGCGACATTCAAATAAGGGTGATTAAGTTAATTAAATGAAGTATAAGGCTGGGATTGGGGGAATAAATTTTTCAAGCGAGATGCAGAAATTGTCCCGTTTATTTAATAGGGTCATAAAATTTGTTAGTAACGTCTAGAAGTGGCCTGGAATAAAATTCTTATCTCCAGCGCAATGTCTCTTCGAGTGATTTCCTAGGTTTTTTTCTTTTAATTTTTCTCGAGACATGCCGCTGAATTAAAGCGAAATTATTACGACTGGATTTGAAGGGAATTTATTACGGATTCGAAAAATGGGATGCAAATTCTTGCCGAGAGGAGGGATTCGTGTATTATGACCGCATTTGCATAAAACATGTGTATTGTGGGCTCACTACTGACTTTATACGTAGTTTATCTTTATTTAGTCGGGTGAAAAGCCCACCAAACCGTTTTTAAAATAAAACACAAAAATTAAGTTTTATCATGAAATATTGAATAATCGCAATCAACAATGCACAAAGTTTAATCCAGGATTACACTTTAAACAGGAACTTTTATAATTAATTTCACAGCAATATAAAGCTCGGACAGACAAAATCAAATACTCGAAAAAATCCTTTCGCGTTGTACATAATTTTTTGTAAATTATTGAAAGTTCACAATTGTCGATTTGAAGCGAGTTTTAAAAATAGATTATTGTATATTGAGTTTGTACGTAATAGCATTTAACAATGCACAGAATTTAATCTAAGCTTTTTCGAATGAATGCTTTTGTCAGCTCTGTCTGACCTGACATTTAATTAACGAGTTAACTTTTGTGAAAATTACTGCAATCCGGTGATTGATATCAGGATTAAACCTTTTTCAATTGTGAGTTTAAGACAGCTTACAATTTGTATTATATTAAGCAACAACATTTAACAATGACCGGAATTTAGCTAACAATTCCCGGAATGCTATTGCTTGAATTGAGTACACATTCCACTCAAAAGCCACAAATGTCTTAAAGGCCTCATTAATAATTATGCGTATCTGTGAGGATCCGGCGTCATATTAAAATAATTTGTGTACGTGATTAAATTTTAATTAGAAGTGGCTAACATTCCTGAGAGTATCACAAAAGTGTGATGCTCATTAGTTCATTACGTAGATGAGGTTCTAATTAAAATTATTCCATTGGTGAAGAGTTACGGAAAGTTTCACGTTTTGTGTGATTTTTTTAAGTAGAGTAACTTAATGCTTGGAACGAGCTTAAAAATAAATGCTTGTTGCGAATATCAGTTTGTAATTAAAGGCCCTATTTTGTGAGAAAAATCGAATGAAAGTCTTTTCAAAGTAAAATTCTTTAAGAACGACTGATTTTAACAATAAATTTTCAATTGGAACGATTTTCCAACTCAGAGACTTATAAAGATATTTAGCAAAGCGGGTACCTTAAAGTGGAAGATAAAAAGCTCAGGAACGACAGCACGTTACAAATCTTTCTATAAATGACCCGAGAAAAATTATTTCGGTGTTACTTTATTCCTTTGCCGTCAATTCTCCGTTTGTTATTACGGTTCGACTTAATAAAAATAATTGGACAAGGATAAGCTCGGGGATAATTGAAAAAATTCGTAAAACAAGTAGGGAGGAATTTGTTCGAAATTGATTCAAATTTTTGCACGAATAGCGAGTAAAAAAATCAGTTCACTCCTTGCGACAACTTATCTTAAATCAAAACTTCTCCCTGTCGGAAAAAGCGAGCTCGTTTGTCTTTTTTACGACGGCATTAATAAAAATTAAGAAGAGAAGGACGGAAGAGACATACTTAAGTGGAGTGATCTCTATGTATAGCAGACAAGTGTTTTGTACGAGAGAGAAGCGTAACTTTCGCATTGTATTTCCTAGAGCCCTTATCACGACTAATCTAATGAAATAAGCCCACCATCGATAGGGGTCTCTTCAGGGTTACGGTGTCAATTTCGTCTCGACATTACTACTCGAAAGCACACCCCATAAAACCGAGGGCGGAAATGCGATGCTGTATAACGCGAAGCTTTCACGATTTTTATTCTCTTTACGGCATTGGGGAGGCGGAAAAACGGGAAATCTGCAAGGGTCCAAGGCTTTACCCCAAAAAATCAAAAAAACAATCAAGTTAAAAAGTTATGTTCCAGCAAGTTGAAAAAATTAGCTATTGACCTTCAATTTTTAAAATTGAGGTTAAAACATTCAAAAAAATATTTTTTAAGTGTACTGCGTGTTTTCAATACAATACAAACATGTTTTTTTATAGAATACCCCATATTTTTGGATGTAGCTTTTAATTTCGATGATTTAAACTAAACTAACAATAATAAGAAACTAAAATGATTATGTTTTGAAAGAAAAAAGTGCAAACTTTAGTGCTAAAACATTTTTTAGTGTATTAGTGTCGAACAAACTTAAATAAACTTAATAAATTTTATTGAAACATTTTTTTTTGTTTTTGCTTCTAACAGATTATTAAATTGTCTATCTAAAAACAGAAAATTTATAAATAAAACGTTATTTAACTTTAACTAGTGCTTTAGTAGTCAAAAAGTGCACATTTGCGCAAGGAATGAAAAAAAAAACATTATTTAGTTATCACATTTATCAGCTTTATAATTTTGTGTTCAATAATTTTAACAATTTTTGAAA